AGAAACTATTGAAGATATTTAAACACGTTAAAGTGTAAATAGTAGGTATTCATTAGCTGTATTTCACATTTTTTTTCAATATTTTTATCTAATGATTAAGGGTTGAAAATTAATAAATAAATTTTTGAAAGTGATTTTTATAAACAATCCCTTGAGTGACACCCACCGAAAAAATTAAGAATAATCCTTTACTATTTAACTATTATCTGTAAAAGTTTCAAGAGTGTCGGATTGGTACATCATAGTTGAAAAAGAATAAAACCAATGCAACGCCCCTTCATAAGGCAAAGCCGGACTGAATGTTAGAGGCGCTCAACCTAACCGACCTATACGGGAATACATTGCGCCGACCCACCACGTTTCTCATACCTGACGAATGAATAAATTCGTCACGCATTCGTAGACCTTCTTGGTCCTATCTCACTAAAGGCTGGTTCAGACACGGCTAGTAATTTAGTCGAGTGGGGAGTAGCTACTTACTACCAAACCGTTTAGCGCATTGAAAAGTGTCCGGACTACTACAGTTGAGCATTGGAAATCGAGAGTACAAGATATATCGCTTGACTAAAGAAATGTGTCCGGACAGGTCTGTTCGGAAGCCTAATTAGTGGTGGGGGAAGCCTATTTGACCAGAAAAATCTAATGAAACGGATCTACTCGACTAAATCGTTTTACTAAACTACTTGACTAAACTGTAGTGTCCATACGCTAAACTACTCACCATTCGACTAAATTACTAGCCGTGTCTGAACCAGTAACTAAACAGTAACTGAGTATAAAGAACATAGCTGCATCCTCTCGACTCGAAACTTGAGAGTCAAATATATACAAGGGTATTTCAATGTTAATTTTCGTCAATAAATCAACAGTACTTTTTTTCGAGGAAAGAAACGAAACATGATATTTGGAATAGTATTGAAACAGATATATTCTTCTTTGTAAAATAAATGAGAGCTGCTTTTTCTCCGTAACGCACTGCCTCCTCCCCCCCCCCCCCCCTCCCCTCCCCCTTGCGGACGCCCATGCATGTCGATATGATTAATGTACGAATTTTACTTATTTGAACTGTCCATTGAGTCCTTCTGACTTTTCGGATTTCCATCATGTTGGATATGTATATTTGTATATCTTGACGACGTTTCGTAGACATGGCAATTCATTTTCTCAGGGCTGACCTAAATCTGGCTGACTTTTTCCGTATCGATTCCAAAGACAATTTCTTTGTTTTTCACACCTTCTTCCTGTTACTCTTCATTCACAATTCCCCCTTCGTTTAGGGCACTTTCTCTTTCAACCTCTATCAATACTTGAAGATCTTCTCGCGATACAGTAAAGACTCGATAAGATTTCAAAATTTGGGACTGGCAAACAACATTTAGCGGACAAAAGATTCAATTCTGCAATCTTTATATTTTGCTGACGTCGACGAACATAGAAAGAGACAGTTTAATAAAGAAGAAAGAGGGACTGAGAAAGTCGAGGTGATCGTAAAATAATTAAATGCCCTTATATCAGTGAAATAACACTAATACAACAAAGACAATGTTTTATTTATACATTATGTTTTTTAAATAAAAATGTTATTAATACATGAAATTTTATTGATTAAAATTATTCATTCCTACAAAAAATTATAAATAATTACTAAATTATACATACTTTAAAAGATTACTCTAATAAGAAAATTATAAATCACATGTAATTAATCGTGAAACAAAAAATTGTTAAGTTCTCTTGTTATAGAAATGAATTAATGATTGTTGCTAGCCGTCCTTTGTATTGAATATCTAAAATATAGCATTAATTGTTCATTCGGCGTTAATTTAACATGTGAAGCGAGCATTCACAGAAAGTAAATTATTTTAAGATTATTCAGGTTAGTTAAAATTATTATAACAATATCGTGTTTGGCTTCATTTTAATCAGGAGAATCTCATCAATATACAGTAAAACCTGGATAAATGCAACGAAAGAATGCTTGGATAAATGCAACATCGCTATCCCCTCCACTTGGGGGGATCCCCCTAGGCGAACCGAGCCGCTCGACCAGGAAACCGTGTAATATGACCCGATCATAATATCCGTGTGACTAATACTAATTCAACGATAAAACTTTTTTATTTTTAACTTTTTCTCAATGAAACTGTTACTAATGCATTTGTGAGATTTTTCTGATTAAAATGATACCAAACTCGATATAGGTTGAATTATATTTATAAACAATAGTAATAGAATAAACAACATAGAATTGAGACCACGACTGAATATAAATGATGTCGGCTGAATACAAAAGATGTGTACGGACACAGAATCGGCATGTCGGCTGCAAAGAAAACATGTGTACGGACTCAGAATCGACACCTCACTTGGATAAATGCAACATTAAATGCCCAGAATCGACACCTCGCTTGGATAAATGCAACATTAAATGCCCAGAATCGACACCTTGCTTGGATAAATGAAACCTTTGAAACCAGAGCCGACACCGCGACTAGTTTTGATTTCGATCTCTGTTGCTTTTCGCCAAACTTTAACATCAATTTCAGCAAGTAATTATAATTGAAACTATATCTTGTTTGGTACCACTTTAATCAGAAAAATTTCACCAATGCGTTAGTAAAAGATTCAATAAAAAAAAGTCAAAAATAAAAAAGTTTTATAGTTGTTACGTGGCCGACGGCTTGGCAGCGCGCGTGGCTATCAGAGGCTTTCTGATTGGCGGCCGCGTAACTTATTTTATTATCAATACAACCCGAGCGGTAAGATTGTATTGTGGTAGGAACTGTCACAAGGTTTCACTGGGTTTAAAGGAGAATGCTAATGTGGGTTTGACACAGCAATGTATATATTCTACAATCTTGGTCTATTACAGATGTTGTTGTCGCGAATATAGGTGTATAATGTGATATATTACCTATTTCCACTATGCTCGGTGTTCACGCACTGGCAATGCGGGGGTGTTGTGTGTGGTTGATTGTAATGCCAAATAGAAACACGACTCGCGGATTCTATAAGGTGAATGTTGCTCGAAGGGGACTTCAACCCGATCTCCCTAATAGTAACCAACTCACTACCGTACACGACGTGCTCGACACGAGATGAACTCTGGTACTGCCCGCGATCGTTGGTACGAACGGGTTTATATACTAATTAAGAAGGGTGGTCTGGTTACTATTCGAGTGATCAGGCTGGGTCCACCTGCCTCTGCGACAGTTTAGAGTGGTTGCATCTGCTATTTGATTACGGCGGACCCATTGCTTTCCCAAGTGTTTGGTTCTGCTATCGGTGGGCCTTCTGTTTATTACGAGAGTAAATGGTCGGTTTGCCCGAGAGTTTTCCTTTCCAGATGTTTAAGCTTATTTGAAAGGAGACACGTTTGATAAAAACGGTCTGTCTACGTGACATAGTTGAATTAGTATTAGTCACACCGATACGTTTCGGCTCTTTCCTTTGATCATCGGACCTCTCTCTTTCCGCCACTGTCTGTCCCTTTCTACGTTCACGCTCGGCTGGTCGTCGCGTGTAACCCGAGATTCGACACCTCGCTTGGATAAATGCAACCACTGGGTCCCAATCTTGGTTGCATTTATCCAGGTTTTACTGTATTAATGAAATTGCTATTTAAAAAAAAAATGAAAAATGAAAAAGTTTCAGCGCTGCATTAGTGTTGTCTCACTAGATGAATGCGATACAGATCTTCGAAGGAAAGCCGCGCTGTGTTATATTGCTCCCATGCTTACTCCGAGGAGGAATCCCCCCCCCCCCCCCCCCTGGTGGGGATAAACTGCGAACACCTAACGGATAGATCCTTTTGAGCACCTATACAGAGGATTAGTCCCAAAATTAGAGGAAATCCCGTAGAGAGATGATTCTAAACAGCTTTTTCTTTTGCCAAAATATTGGTTAAGGCTTCGTTTTCGAGTTATTAACGAAAATCACTGGCCAATCAGAGTGCGCTCTAACGCGCTCTGTAACAAGTAACAGTATGCAGTAACAGAACACGGTTTACATTTGTTACCATAACTTGTTAGATTGGTAATAGGTAACGGTAACAAATGTGTGCGCAGCTTAACACATTTGCTGATACATACCGGCTCCGACGGTGTCGATCAGAAATGTTCTGAATTCGTCGTCTGTTCGTATGCGGGCAGCGAACGTGTTTGGCAGCTGATTGTAAGATTAACATATTGATTGCCTTAGTAGAAATGCACATGCGAACTCAGACATTTTGAAACACTAATAATAATTAAGTACGCAATCGATTGATATATGATATTCAGGGTTTGTTTTTTCTTCTCTATTCCTAATAATTCAATTACATAAAATTTAAGGCGCTGGTCATCGGTTACCACCATGATATTCAACTTGTCAAATTGCAATCAGAAGAAAATCAAAGAATACTTCGTATTACTCAAAACCAATAGAGCCCCACATTTACTCTGTTACCTATTTCTTTCATTTAATCCTTTACTCTATCATTTAATTCAGCAGTTGTGTCAATCAGAGCAACTATTCATTGTAAATAAAATAAATTGAAATAGTAGGCATACTTTGCATTTAACGATTCTTGACTTGTAAATTATAAATACAATTAAACTTAAAATTAAGCCATATTGAAAGCCACATTAAAGACTATAGGTAGCATCACAAGTCTGACAGAATATCGAAAGGTAAAATGGTAAATATGTTGTGACAAGAGAGGATGAACTATACCTATAAAAGATGAGATATGCATGTCACCTAGGATAGAGTCAATGATAGACGAAATACATACAAGGTGTCCCGTAACTGATGGTTCTATGCAACAAAAGGTATAAATTTTGGAATGTGGAATTTTGGAACTATAGAATTTTAGAATTCTGAAATTTTTGAATCTTGATTATTTATGAATTGATGAAGGTTCATAATTTTGGGTACGGACCAGTCCAAATTTTTAGAGGTGATAGGCCCACTTATTTACGCTGATCTTTGCAAAATAAATTGTTATCTCGTTTTTATAGAATGTGGATTAGCGAACACGCAGAGACGAATAGTAGGCGGTGTTGAAACCCAGGTTAATCAATATCCTTGGATGGCATTGATGACGTTTAGAGGACGATTCTATTGTGGTGCATCAGTTATAAGTTCTCGCTATGTATTAACTGCAGCTCATTGTGTTGACAGGTAAATTTAATCTTGTATACGTAACATTGTAAGGATATATTAATGTAGTATTTCTTGTATTATTTTATGTGACATTATTTTTCAAAGACAAGTGTGTTCTGTGCAAAAAGTAATAGAGTACTAACATACAGTGGCTCACAAAATTGGTCATCCATACTTTAAAACAAAATAACTTCTTTTCAAACCGACCGAATGACTTGAGCTTTTCGAAAAGTTAAAAGGATTAGATTACTAGATAACATACTTTTTGTCGAAATCTCGAAAAGAAATACCGAAAGGCACTTCCTATAGCATTTCAGTGGCGGATCCAAAGAGGAGCGTAAAGCCCCCCATCCCTCCTTTCACTCCGCCCTCGCCATCAAAAGTAATAAAATATACATAAATATTATGCCACATTCTGGAGAAATTTTTAGATATTAGATATAAATTATCATAGCGTTCGAGGGCCTCCTAGGTAAATAAATTTGGTTCAAAAGTTTAAATTTATTTGAAATAAAATTAAATAGCATTTAATCGTAAAGGAAAGGGACAACACTAAAAAACTGTCGTTTAAAACTTTTTGACATACTAAACGGAAGACTTATAACGGGGCCCGTTGTAAAGAGGGCCAGAGCCTGTAGCTCCCCTTAGACCTCCACTTAATCCGGCACTGTAAATTGTAAATAAATTTTAAGAATTGTAAAAAAGATGTACTTATGTATTTTTTCACATGCCCGTCCCTCTCGCAGAAAGGCTCCTGGATCCACCGTTGTAATTTTTTTTTTGTCTGAGCCTGTAGTGAAAATTTTAAGAAATTCTTTTGTACATTTAAGTAAGTTATATATGTATATGTTGCAAATTTCAAGTAATGTACAAAGAAGCTACACAGAAATAAAATTAACAAAAATCGCATCTTTTCCCCCATAATAATGAGTCACGCTTGATCGTTTGTAGCCCACACCTACATTAACTGATTTCGACGTATTACCCAAATTATAGTATATTATAACTTTCTATAAATAATTGAAACAGATTTGATCCAAATCTCATGACCATTCAAATATTGGAACATGATCGTAATTCTACAACGGAGTCTGAAACACAAGTATTTAAAGTTGATAAAGTGATCAAGCACATTGGCTACTCAACGTTTAACTATAACAACGATATCGCATTGGTCAAATTGAAAGGTATTATTCGATTTGAAGGAAAAATGAGGCCTGTTTGTCTTCCAGAACGAGGTAAAATTTATAGTTTTAAGAACATATTTCTTATAATCTTTGAACAGCGGAGCCTGATTTAATCGTGACCCAAACGTACAAATGTATATATATACTAACTTAAAATTGAATGTATTATTTTTAAATGAAAGAGTTATACAATATTGAAATAATAGTTTTTAAAGGAATAGTGTAAAATTTAGAGAATGAAAATAATATGAAATACAAAATTACATTAAAATTGGGGCTCTCTTCATGATCCGCCGTCCGAGGTTTAATGAAATTCAAAGAAATAAGTAATTCTATTACATTTCGTTGTAACAAATACTTAAAAATTCATTTTACAGCGAAAACCTTCGCTGGTACGGATGGTATAGTAACAGGATGGGGTGCAATTGAGGAATCTGGTCCTATATCGCAAACTTTACAAGAAGTCGTAGTTCCAATTCTCACAAACGCTGAGTGTCGTGCAACCAAATACCCAGCACGAAGAATAACAGATAATATGCTTTGTGCTGGTTATAAAGAGGGACAAAAAGATTCGTGTCAGGTAATTAAATACACATCATTTTCATTGCACTTATCATTATTAACACATTTTTCTTTATTTAACATTTATTGGATTTATTATAATATTGTAACAATAATGTTTTCTTCTTTTACCACATACACTCACGTACATTGTTTTGTATAAATTCTTATTTTGGAATGTAAAGCGAAGTATTATTCAAATGTGTATCTACGTAGGGAGACAGTGGCGGCCCTCTACATGTTGTCATCAACAACATACATAGCATAGTTGGTAAGATTTATATTGTATTACCTGATTATAAACAATACTTTACTGATACATAAAATAACAATCAATCAATCCATAGGAGTTGTATCGTGGGGCGAAGGATGCGCGAAACCCGGCTACCCTGGTGTTTACAGCAGAGTGAATCGTTACATCACGTGGATAGAACAGAACACTGAGGACGCGTGTTATTGTTAATTAAATTTAAATGAGAATGACAAATCATTTTAAAACAGAGCTCGGCAAGATTTGCACTTTTCAGCCGATTTTCAGCTGGCTCCGCCTACCGCTATTCTCCTTGTCGCGACGTTCAACGCGCAGCCTACGAACCGTTCGACGCTCAGGAGCGTATTACTCGTAAACATATGCTGGCAAACCACTTAAAAAAAAACGCATCGACAATAGTGAGCTCGCGGGTGAGGTGGAAAGCTATTACCAGCATACGTTTACGAGTGATACGCTCCTGAGCCTCGAACGGTTCGTAGGCTGCGCGTTGAACGTCGCGGCAAGGGGAATAGCGGTAGGCGAAGCTAGCTGAAAATCGGCTGAAAAGTGCAAATCTTGCCGAGCTCTGTATTAAAAGATTAAAATACTCGATGACCAAGACATTGTATTTTGTACACTACCGAGCACGGTAGGCTTTTATAAGAAAAATGACGATATGGAGGTAAATAAAACACTAGCACCAGGTAAATAAAACACTTGTCCGGGGCCTTGCGCTTAAATACTTCACATGTAGCAAAACTTAATAGAATGAAGTATCACTATTCGAATTTTTATTTACAATTGAAATGCGAAATGTTATGAACATACAGTTTTTTGAAACATAGGGATTTTGTAAATGACAGAATTTCTATAATTATACGGTAATAGTTTATTTGTTAGCTAAGAATTTTCATGTTTAAAAACTAGTTCACTTTATACTAAATTTATCATCAAATTTTATAATAAATGACAAATATAAAATGCGTATATTATATTATAGTTTTATTATTAAGAATAACTTTTGGAAATATCTGTTTCTAATTAAATGTTTTCAATGATGTCGACCTTTTGTCGCTCTGTAATCTCTAAAGATAGTTTCAGTACCATCATTTAATACAGAGATATCCAAGGAAGCTCTTAATTTCCTCTACTCCATACATTTTCCCCTGAAATGGACTGTGACAGACGAAGATAGACTATGCCATACTTTGTCTATTACCAACTATTTGCGGAGAAACGACACTTAGTGGTAAAGATCCATTGCGCCCGTGGACATCAGTACAATAATAAACAATTACCACGAATTATGAATAAATATCTCCATTTGCGTAGAGGCTAGGGTGGACCTGGGCCCCTAAAAGTCTGGACTGGTTGCTTTTTAAAAATGTGGACTTTTACCATACTAACGTTTTAAGATTCCAAAATTAACAAATTTCAGATCTTGAAAATTACAAATCTAAGACTAAAATTCTAAAATTTCAAACTATCAGAATTCCAGAAATTCAAAATTACAAACCTGGGATTTAAAAATTCTAAAATTCCAAAATGACAAATTTGAAACTTAAAAATTTCAAAATTCTAATATCCTAAAACCTCAGACTTTCTAAATTCCAAAATTCCAAAATTCCAAAATTGAAATTTAAGAATTTCTAATGGAATTGGCCCGTTCTAGAAAAAGGACCAAGTTACGCCAATGAATATCTGAGTATCCAATGACTTGAATAAGCGCTTGAATAATTAAATAGAATAATAATAAGAAGAAGAAGAACGATGATTCTCAAAATTCTAATTTTGAAGATATTAATATTAAAATTATTTTAAAAAATATTGATATAACTTTCAATTATTAATGCATAATTAAGAAATATTAATAGTGAAATCAATTTTGCTGAACCTATCGTGCTCGATACTGTACATACATACTATATATCGTTACCATTTATAAATTGATCACTGTAGAAATACATTTTCTAAATTTTAAATGTTAATTTCTAACATAGCTGAATTTTTTCTACGAATACAGAATTTTCATAGATTTACATGTAAGTAGAAATGAAGATGGCAAAGTATGACACAAAAAATTCGTATTCAATTTAATGACAGTTTGTTATGTGTTTATCTATTTATTGTATTTAAATTTGTAACCAATCTATCAAAATTAAAAGTAACTTGTTTGTATGCTTTACAACTTCCTGCCTTATTTATGTACACAAATACATGACAAAGCGAATAGTATTTAAGGCACGTATCTCGCATCTTACGAGGCTTGTATCATTAAATATGTGAAAAAGAAAGTTACCAAACTTTCGCTGCTTGTTCCGATACAGAATTTCACTGAAAACTCACGTACAAACATTTTTATAGCATTACTTGCAGAAGACTCTGATTTTTATATTTAAAGAAGTCAAGTACTTTATATGCGTAATCATTGTGACATATCTTAGTGAAATTAAACATAATGTTCATTATTTTTCAGTAATTATGAGTTTGAATATTTCATCCTTTTCACTAACGATAAGTATCGTTTACTCTTTATATTATATGTATAATGATGGCAACTTAATATTTTTTGGACATTTCTCATTTAATTCCATGAAAAACTAATAATGCATTCGTTATATGTAATAATATAATTATTTGTTCTGCTTTTAAAGTGGTTTAAACATGTTAATTTTTCACAAAAATCTAACTTACATATTTCAAAATCTATTTCATTTTTTTAAACGGAGATACATGTAGTATTTTTATTATATCAATTTCATTATGTACCACAAGATACATTCGTTATCAGTAACATTCGTAAAGATACTTTGTTCAATAACTTCTCCAGTATCTTCTATTTTAAAACGTATCATCATTCATAATAAATATAGGTAAATTAATATTTCCATGTATCTACTAACTCAATTAGCAGAATATTTTTATAAAGTAAAAAACATTTTCTGTAATAATAAATAGAAATCAGATTTCGGAGATCTACAAATTTTGTCTGAACCATTTATGTAGTATGTGTATTTTTAAAGCTAAATAAATAGTTACACGTAGATATATAGCTAAATATGTACACTCACGATCAGATCAGGCTTTCCCAAAGAAAATGACGATATAGGAGAAGCAGGAAATCTCAAAATTTTAATTTTGGCAATTTTAATATTGAAAGTAATTTAGAAACAAAAATAATGCAATTTTCCGTTATTCCTAAATTTAGTATATAATTGGAAAGCATAGATATTAAAGTATGTACATGTATATAGGTCCAGATAATTAAGAAAAAAAAAATATGAACTTGAGTGGACTCGAACTTACGCAAAAATCTTGCAACGGTTTAGCAATCACATTCTTAACCACTGGACCACCGGTAAGACTACAAATCTTTTTTCTAGTTTAAGATATAACACGCGTAACACACTATCAATTCGGTTTTATTTAGTTTTTGGAATTTTTATTCTGTTTTACTATACATAAAAGCATCGAACGTTGTTTAACACATTTATTTGATGAAGTTCAGATGAAAATTCGCGGTACAAGTAACTTTGACACGCAAAAAACAGCGGAAAATTCGGTTTTTAATATTTTTAACTATCGCGCATCTGACTAAAAATTCTCAAAAAAATAGAGAATAATAGTATCAGTAATATACAGTGATAAAAAAAATGTGAATCCAGATCCGCGACTACTTCCATACAAAATCCCCATTTTTCGAAATTTTTGGGGATTTTTAATTTTTTACAGCTCGTGTTTTCAATCTAAAAATCTGCAAAACTACTATAATATGTATCTCATGAGTGAAAATATCTTTGATTTTTTTCAGAATTTTTCATGCACAATTTTTCTTAATAAGCTATCGAATGAGCCATTGCAAGTCGAATTTGGTTTAGGGGAACTTTTGATCATCTTATCCGGCTATACCCTTTTTCCGCGTAAACGTTTATCCGCAAGTGGTGGGAGATCACGGACCAATACATACATGTATGTACATATGCACGAGTCCCTTTCCTGTATCGTCATTTTTCCGGGAATACCTATGGAGAGTGACGGGAGTCCGGAGAAAGACGGAACCCCGAGACATCACTATTTTTCCTCGGAAAGCCTGAATTAATCACGAGTGTATGTACACCTTAACGAATAATAAAGCACTTTTCAATTCTTTATCAAAATCTAAATAAATCTAAATGTTAGTCGCATGAAGCTGTTTAACATCAGTCAAAAGAGAATTTCACTAAAGCATTCACAAAGCGTTCAATAAAATTTAGAATATTTGTGAACAACACTGTTTGAAGAAACAGAAAAAGTCAAGCATGATATGTATTACGTTAAGAAAAAAAGAAACAAATATACAAACATTTTATTACGCAAACAGATAAGAGAACTAAATATTTAAATTCTAGGAATATATTGATAAATACAGAAGGGAAATGATATTTAATTGGTAAAATAAATTAAAATAGAAATAAGAAAGTATATAATAAACTTAGAAAAAAAAAGAATCATATTATTTATTTTAATTCGAAAGATAAAGCTTATATATTTTTACAGCACATATTTCTCAACTAACAAAATTTAACAAATTTTTTCAGTCAACACTTAACATTTACAATTAAAAATCAATAAATATATACAAGTTTTTAAATAATTTACAATAAACTACGACAGAGAAACACAGATATGTCTATTAATTGACTTTTACCTTGTTTACTACAAATTTAACGAAATATATAAATATTAACGGAATAGAATACATATATACAACCTCAAATGTATCATTATTAACACATGCGATTGCTCGATAAAAAAAGATTTACTTATAAAAATTGAATATAATATCTACTTGATAAAATATTAGGAAATACAATGTTCCCATTCATTTAAATCTTCAAAACATCAAACCTACTAAATATCGGTGATTAAGAGTCGTTTGGGTTGAATAACTTCAACTGATATAATATTTGTTTTTTGCTTGTCAGACAACCAATACGTTTCCATATTGCCTTTTCCCTGTACAGAACGAGTAGGAAATTATAAAACAAATAAATATAGATCTCTGAATTACTGTAGGGACCCACTGAATTATGAACAATTGCTCATATCTAGTTATTTTTGATTTAAATTTTTGTCACGTAACTTACAGTAAACTCTCCTTATATTGCTGCGGATACAGCTGTAAAAGTGGACCATTTCTCAAGCATCCAAGCGCTCATTTGAAGCGGAGAGGGGAGATAGAAATGTATCATCTTCGTAGGTTATAGGGGTGTAAGAGCGGCACTGGTATTCTTAAAAATCCATGTGAAAGTGAAGTCATTTACTTGACAATATAACAAGAGTTGTACATGGGTAGTATTGAAAAAATAGTGTTTATTGCCTCATAATATACTCGTTAAGTAATGAAATGCAACGTAATGTAGCTTAAAATTACTTCAAACCTCGTCGAATTTCAACATTTTTTAATCACTTCCTTTATTATATGTATATTTCATGGTTTGCATACAGCTCTGAATACAGCCTTTGATTTTAGGATCATTATTAAGGATTTATTTAGTAGGATTTTCTCTTTGATATACTTGTGATTGTAGGAGGGCCTAGATATTCTGGATAAAATTCAAAGTATGATAAAAATAAAAAAGATTCTTGTAGAAGTATAAAAGGAATGTTAAAGAAAATATTCCACTCGTACTATACTACATTTTTCTCTTAAATAGACCAGTTAGTAATTTGTAATAAAGAAGTGGAAATATGATTTGTTAAAGATTTGCAAGTGTTCATAATTCAATGGCACCGTAGGATCTAGAAAGATCCGTTACTATACAAACCTTGACCCAAACTAATCCACGAGATTCAACGTGATAACGGTCTTGGGGTAACAGTGTTTTAGTATCGGCTGAAATGTGTATCCTCCCTGGCTGCATCAAGAAAAGAATAAAAAAACATTTTACACAATATAAATCGATGATTTATGAATGTAGTGAAAAATAAAATAGTAGGTACTACATATATCTTAGAATTAGTCAAATCATTTAATGAAAATATTACGGAAATTTCAGTATTATTTAAAAATTTAATACTAAAAGTGAAAATGCAATTTTTAGTATAATTATGGAAAAATGTTCAATAAGCCGCAGAGGTATTCACCCACCCTTTAAAACAGAATAAGTGCGTTTTTTAACATAACAGTTAAAAAACTGAAGATCGTTTTCTATGGTTTTTATCTGATTTCGAAAAGGAGGAGGATACTCAATTCGATGAGTATGTATTTTTTTTTTTTCTCTTCTATGTATGTTCACCGATTGCACCGAGACGTATGGACCAATCGGAACGAAACTTTTTGCATCTGGTAGAGTATATCTCCCGATTGGAACCGCAAAAAAATTTTTGTATTTTTTCATTCCTAACGACTTTTATCGCAAAAAATGTAGCAGGTTAATTTAAGAATGAATGCGAAAGTTTCATTTAAATTGTTTTCAAATTTTTCATCATTAACGTAGCCTCCAATTCAAACGTTTATTAATTATACCACTTCAAACATTTTTATTTGTTGTTTAGAATCCTTAGAATTTCCTTTTTTACATTATGACAGGCAATAAGAGATTAGGTTCCGTATTCGTTCTAAACAGCGAATAAAAATGTTCTACCAGTTCAGTTTTTCTATTGTGCTATGCCAACGGGGTGCCGAGCTGTTCGTTCGCGACCTACGTCAGGCCCGGGTTTCGTAGCCGACATTGCATCCCCTGAGTCCGCGCACTGTACGCGCTCGGATTGGTCGGTGTTTTTTGTTGTTAACTCGAAAACGAACCAACATTTTGGCAAAGGAAAAAGTTGTTCAGAATCACCTTAGCAATCATCCCTCTTCGGCTGTCGAGGTAGCCGCGTGACACCCCGTATATCAGCGATGATCCCACTCGCAAAAATTTATGAAACTTGTTGTTTATTAACCATTTAAATTCGGTCAATTTTTTTTCGGTTTATGGTCATTACCTAAGCGACAGAAACCCAAAATCACCTTACTATCCTACAAATACTACTGGTTCCACTAAAAAGTGTGAAATAAAATAATTTTTAACAAAAAACAAATCCGACTTTGAAATGCACTAAAAAGTGTAAAATAATTTCTATTTCATTTATACCAATATTCCATAGCTATTAACAATATCTACTTAATCGTTAAATAGGATACCAAATACATTTCAAAGTTTTCGGAGGCGGCGCAAAATTAAAAATACCCGAACAAACGATGCTGCCAATAACGATTTGATTGCGGTATGGCGATCTTGGTAATTAATAAGTCGTAAGAGAAAAAGCGGAACGTTATAGGTCCTGCTGAAAACATTTGTAATTTTAACAATTGTATCAGAAATTGGCAGCACTCCTGATGTACATGCACTATACTGCAGTTCACGAGAGACCATACTTAACTCGCGCAGCTCATTAGGTCTAGAGAGATTTTTAATAACGTGTGTTATTCCCCTCTATAGCTTGCTTCTTATTATACTTTGCGATCATATAAATGGTGGGCAGAACTATATGACATACGATAACTGATAACCGGTGATGATATTGTGAAGTTTCACGATACAATGAAATTCCTATTATTTTCGAAAAAAAAATGATGTAAACGCAAAGTAAGAAGTAAGCTGTAAAGGGGAATCACACACGCTATTAAAAATCTCCCTAGACCTAGTGAGCTGTGCGAGTTAAGTGCGGTCACCCGTGAACTGCAGTATAGTTAATTCGCAATGGGTATGTTGATTCCTGTTGAATATTGTTTACTCGAAATTATAAAATGGGTCATTTATTATAGGTTGCCGACGCCCGAGTTAGGATCTTCCTAGTAGAGGAAAAGTGTTACGCGGCACAGTATATCGCTCGCGGATCTACAATAGCAGTTTTCTACTTTCAATAATCTTACGGTTTTAACCATCAAGAGCAATAAACTCACCGTAAGACAACGTCCATTTTGCCTCCTATGTACCTTATACAGATGGTAACAACGATAAATTCATGAACTGATGAATTTATCGCACCAATTTAGAAGCACGGTCGGTCATGCTCAATCACTTAGTTCTTGATTATTAGAAAAGGTCTTAAGCTGGTCGGAGTGGAGTTTGTCATGTATCGAAGCAATTATTGTGTCAAATGTAAAGATCCAACATTGAACAGATCCTCTACAGGACAAGGCCCATAAATTCAGAACACTCAGTTCGGACATTCGTTTTGTCCACGAGCTCGCGACAAGCGATTTACAATCTTTTACGGGCTCTTCCTACGTTTTTTGTGCATGAGTCGTAGCCAGTCCAAACAAAGACCCAAACCTTTCTGTTGGCTCGGCTTAGCTTTCTCTCATGCCTTCGCCTCCGTGTTCCAAACAGCCCCTTCTGCTGTGCACGTGTCACTGCGAGTCATACTGACCCAACAACGGTCATGAACCGTCACTGCGCTCTGCTCCAAGGCACCACCGGTCACCAAGCCCATATATCAAACCCACACAGAGGTTTCTGGGCCCACAGTCGCCCTTGCCTTGGAGTTACCGCCGGTTCTGTGCAAACACGCACCTTAAGACTCCCACGTGCATCGCAGCTGTTGGGCGTTTTGTCGGGCTTACATGGGACTTGTCCAGCGAGCTGATTTGCTGAACACTTCGACCTATCGCCATTAATTAAACCCCAAACGTTTACTAATTGGTCACTTTTGGTAAACGCCTCTCTCGCTGGGCTCTCTCTGCGGCTTCTAGAAAAGCGTCTTGGAACTTGGAGGGGACTGAATTCGGCAGTCTTTTACAGAACTTGAACAAGCACAGTCTTAGACAGCTCACCTGAGCAATTGGTCAGCTTTCGTTAACTTAATAGTTACACTCCGACCTAGCTACATAAGCTCTGTTTAAACCACATTCAAACATTCACACATCTGAACAATTGTACAATACACAACGAAGTAAACGCATTAACAGTAAAATATCTTGAAGTTAATATCCTTATCATTGTAAGAGATAATAAGGAAGTGCGACACGTCGTGGTGTAGTAACTCGCATCACACCAAACGGTTCGGTAATTACATCGCGGATTCGCGCTGAAACAGAAAGGTTTTTAATTTTGCGCCGCCTCCGAAAACTTTGAAATGTATTTGGTATCCTATTTAACGATTAAGTAGATATTATTAATAGCTATGGAATATTGGTATAAATGAAATAGAAATTATTTTACTTTTTAGTGCATTTCGAAGTCGGATTTGTTTTTTGTTAAAAATTATTTTATTCTCTCTGACAATGAGTTATAACCGTACATTTGTACAGTTACATAGTATAGTACAAATATAAATGTTTCGAAAGAGCATGGGAACTATAGCGATGGTAAGTACTATCCCCTCTTTTCTATCTTGCTGGAGCGCGTGCGCGAGTCCCCTCTTTTGAACACCGGATCGAAGGAGCTCATTGTCAGTGTCGATTAGGGACGTTCGATTCACCGGAAAGAACTGATTTTCGAATCCAGAAAATCGAAACCAAAGAATCGGTTTGAAAAAAATTGCCCTTTTTTGTTTCCTTTTTTATTTTCATTTTTGTAAACAAACTATCCCATACGATTCGTTTGTGCGGCATCGATTATTGTAAAGAATCGATTTTTTATATTTCGTGCTCTTACACCAAAAGCAGGCGCTCCTCATTGTTTATATTTTAATCACTCTTCTTATACTTTTTTTGAGAGTAAATGTGTTTTTATGGATTAGAAAAATCGATCCTTCTAAAAATTCGGAACCGGAAAGTCGATATAAAAAGTGGGAAATTAATTTCCTAGAAGGCAAAAAATCGATTCTGAGAAAAATCGAATACCAAAAAATCGATTCGAAAGATCGATTTTTTTAACGAAAGAATCGATTTTCTAAAGAATCGCATCGGCATCGAACATCCCTAGTGTCGATCCAGCGATCGATACTCTGGTCTCTGTGGAACGGATGCCTTTACACACGGCCCTCCTCCTGGAGAATACCGTCTTTAGATTGCGACCCAGCAAGTTATGACTGGGGTCGAGTTCGAGCACTTCCCTTTCATCTTGTAGTTGCCGTCTGCCTTAGGACTCAGCACCCTCGACGGATAGCTCTATACAAACACATCCAAAACATAGTTGATTCCTGGGTAAAACACCCGGTCGAGTCAACGTAATTTTACTTGTGTTCTGGCAATTTTTGGATTGCAGTTTGGAGGGCTGTGATCACGCTCTTGGTTGGCATTAATTCTTCCTTTAGTGCGCATCGCACGACAGGAAGAACGTTGACGGATTCCGGCTAATGCATAGGTAAATCGGTTACTTTCAAATTCACGTATCTCAATCTGCAAAGGAGTCGAGGGTCGGGACTTAGTGCACGACTTTCTCATCCTTTGATTGTGGTTAAGATCGTGGAGCCAGTGCCCCCGTCGATCTGAAGTTCGCAGGTGGAAACACTTCGCAGAACCGGAAGTATTCTCGGATTCCGCTAGCTTGCAATTCTGCGATTTGAGAGGCGCTATAAGAAAATAGCTCGCGAAACGGTTAGTCAAATCAAACGTCGTTGACACCGTTGGTGTCCTTTAGCCAACGCGCTCCACAAAAACGCGACTCTCTCTCGTGTCTGTGTATGCCTAATAAGCGAACTGAGCGTAGAAAAACTCGTCCTTGGCGATAGACGTTTGAACTGTACACGACCAACGGAATTCTGTATCCGTCGCGTGTCTACCTCTTTTTGCATTCCGATCTGCATCGCGACATTCCATTTGGTTATGCAGGAGGGGTATGGTAAAATAAACACACACCGTAATCTGTCTAGAAATACTGTGCTATATTATATTTTGACGTCTGTCGTCTAAGGCGTCTTACAATTAGTTCGAACTGCTTCAAACTGTTTCGAACGAGTCCGCTGTCGAAGAAAACCCTGGGCCCACTTAAGGGTACGTGACCGGGTCGGGGTGGGCCGAATCGGAGCCCCTTGACCCGTCCTGTCTCTACAAGGGTCTGGACTGTCTCTAAGCCCGATGGGGTGTCGTAAATCTAATGGGTAAACCTAACAGTCTATAGTTATATTATATTTTCTTATACAGGGAGATTCTCTCGGCGCGCAACACAATAGCCGTGCCGCACAATGGAACCCCTGCTGTTCCGTTTCTTGTCTTCGTCTCAGCCATAAACACACACAGAGCAGTCTTGGGTCCGGCGATATGGCCCCTGGGTCTCTTTACCCGCAACAACCGCAGGGTTCCATTGTGCGGGGCGGCTATTGTGTTGCGCGCCGAGAGAATCTCCCTGTATTATATTATATTATATTATATTATAATTCCCGGTTCATAAAGTGCGTTTATTCAACCAATCATTTTACCGTTAATTTATAAGAAGAGTGAGTTTTTTTGGTCGCATTATAGTCGCTCGACTGGTTGAACTATATTTCCGTTTCTATTTTCTTCTCCTTTTTCTGTCTCCCGTTTGTATTCGATCTGTGTGCCTTGTATGAAGGTGTTTGGCAAACCATCTAGTCAATTTCACCGTGTATTACATTTACTAATAAGAGCGTCTACATAACATCTAGTCGAAGTCAACTTGTGTTCCACTGATTGTTAAACGCGTCAATTGCGAGAATATCAGCGGTGTTTCTACCACTCTGTGATGGGCTACTCAGCCCATATTATTCACTGCTTATTTCTGAATAAAGCGATATTTTATTACACCGCACAAACGTCTCATTGCTGTTACAACCATTCCTTCTGCCTTCGCGAACGCGAACTCTACCTTGAGATAGTCGGGGAAATCCTACGCTCGTTCCACTCGCGTATTCCCCTTACGAAAAATATAAATGTTACAGAGTGTGTAATGAAAATTTTTAAAATACCTTTTGTAAATTTGAGTAACTTTGTGTAGATGCTGAAAAATGTGTAGCGTATAGCTGTGACTTTTATATAATACGTGTTTTTGCGGTATAGACTTTAATGGAAGTAACATGAGTGCTGTAGGTTTGGTAGGGTTGGAACACTATCTGCTTTCCCACTTGGATGCATTCTCCCATAATAAGTGTTGTAACGAGCGTTTCTAGGTGTCGCGCCCGTCCCTTGAGTGGGGGGCCTTGCGAAGGCTCTCGCGTGATGAGCGAAATAAAGAGAACTGCCTGAGCCGCGAACGTACGCACATCGACGACGAAAAGACAACCAGTAATATTATTATAAGAAGATTTGGACGAAACCACTAGAAAGTGGCTGAGCTGCCCCGACGTCGTATTTGTCACTCAAGAATCAAGGAGACGATCTGCGTACGATCCGAAGACATCATCCTTCGACGCATCCAGAAAATTGTAAGGGTTATCCGCCGTCTATTACAAATGTATAACACAAATGAGCCATAATTATAAAGTATCGTTCAACACGTCAGTGCATTATCTTTTAAATTGTTACAGTGTATAATGGAATTTTATAGTGCGACTTTTCAATTTGATGCGTCTCAGATAATAATATTACGTCTATGTTATTACAGGAGATGAATTCTTTCATTTCTAACAACTGATGCTGTAAACCATTACAATTCCACTGCACTATGAACATCATTGGGAATTCTTCTTTTGTAGCGTGATAAATTCTATTAGAAGTTGCAGTATTATTAATATTTGTTATCACTGTTGCTTAATTAAATATTACCCTTCGATTTTCGTTTTTTAATTACTTTATATAATTTTGGCAAATGGAATTATCGCGGAAACATGTCCTACGAGATGTGAATGGTTTCGTCACGATCGGTACATTCCTTGCAGAGTAAACGCCGAACATACATGAAACAGTACGGTTTTTGCAACAAAAATCGTTAGCAATGAAAAAATACAAAATGGTTTTTTAACGGGACCAATCCGGAGATATATCCTACAAGATGCAACAAGTTTCGTTCCGACTGGTCCATCCGTCTCGGAGTACTCGGGTAACATACATAAAAAAAATAAATAAATAAATATACTGATCGAATTGAGTAACCGCCTCCTTTTTCGAAGTCGGTTAAAAAATGATTCGTATTGTATTATACATATACATACATGGGTAAAACATACCTAACTAAATTATACTAATTTATTTTTTTTAAGGTGCAGTCCATTTAAAAAAAATAACCCGTGAAATCTCGGACGGTATGACTTTGAAATGACCTTCACCTCCATAGCCAATTTAACTTCTGACAGTATTTATTTGTATCTTTGCAAATAAACAAATAACTGCGGTTGGTTGAATTTGATAAGACATTCTATAGATCTATGTGTAAAGTCGGTACTAAAACTTAAAAGTTTTGCAAGTTCAACTTACCTATTTATAAACTTACTTTGTATAAACTTATATAAACTATAGTTAGCCAATTCTGAAACTGAGTTTGTAACTTACTGAAAATACGCATTTCCACGTTCAGTCTGTCTTTATCGATAAAAATTATTTTTATAAAACAGATACTTCAAAATCACTGATCAATTATAGTTGAAAGAAAAAAATAGAAAGAAGAAAGCAGGAAACTGCAATTTTCAAATACCTTCTCAAAATCAACATTTTCTAATAAAAACTTCTTTTTTAATATAATAATGAAGTTCACTGTACTAAATTTTTATTTTACTTCATTGTTGCTATATTATTACTAACTTTCATGGTAAAATTAATAAATGTAAGCAAACTTACTTCACTAGTTGTCTGCATTCTAGAGGCAGTATTCACTGTATCACCAAAAAAGCAGTATCTAGGTACTTTGATGCCAACAACACCTGCTACAGCTGGTCCAGAATGAATTCCTAAGAAAGGGAAAACAAATTCATATACATTTATACTTATTCTTGCTCAATCTTTGGGCATATTTAAGAGAAAAGTATTTTTCACAACCTCTTGTAAGTCTTTTCGACAAAAAAGTTCATTCTTCAATTTCGATTTCAACAATACGACCGTTATTCGAGCCGACTCTTAAAAATTTTAACTAACAACGGGTAGGCTACATGATCATGGATTTTGACGAGCTTTTACATAGTCAATCTATAGGGTGTCCCAGAAAGAGTGTTAGTATTTTAAGGGGATGGCAGATGGGGTGATTCTGAACAACATTTTCCGGCTTATCTCAGGAATAGTACCACACTCCGATTGTGTTCAAACTTCATACATTTATATGTTAGGTTAGTGGTAACGTAAATATAAAGTATCAACGTGCGGAAACTTTAACGTGCCGAGATATAGAAAATCGCGAAAACCGATCTTTTTCACCTTTTCTGGGCATTCTCTTAAAAAAATAAAGAAACTAGTTTAACCAAACCCAACTAATAAAAGAACAGTAAGGTTAGGTTTAGGTTAGGTCGGGTGGCCGGGGCTGGGTCCCCGGTCGCCATTGCACGCGGCTCGAGGTGTTGCCGCCGTCGGACGTGTCCTAGGACGTCGGCGGAGTTGGCACAAAGGGGGAGGGTCAAAGGTTAGACCCTCCCCCGAGATATGGCGTGTAAGCGCCATGGGTGGGAGGGTCCCTATAGCCCCAGTGTAGGTCACCGTGGAGGTTTTAATGGGTAGAAATACCACACTACCTCTAGCACCTTTCAAGGGGGGCTGGAGGCGTCTTTTCGAAGATTCTCACGTGAAAAAAAAGGATTGGGTTAGGTTTTCTTTTGCAATTTACACCATAAATTCGCTTAAGGAAGCGAGAAAACTCGATATACCACAACTTTCGCCCATTGGCATTTTCGCACGCTGAGACTTCATATTTTAGTTAGTTATACCCTAAACACTCCCTACCTACAGTTTGAACAAAATCTAAGTGTGGTACTATTCCGAAGTCTTACCCATTTTCCTTTGCAAAAATATTGTTTGAAGCTTCGTTTTTGAATTATTAAAGAAAAACACAGGCCAATCATAACGCGCATACCGCGCGGGCTCCGATTGGCCAGTAGTTTTCCTTAATAATTCAAAAACGAAGCTTCAAACAACATTTTTGCAAAGGAAAATGTTGTTCAGAATCACCCCAGCTATCACCCCCTTAAAGGACTAACACTTTTTCTGGGACACCCTGTATATTGAAAATAAGCGGGCAGGTGTCCGAACGTTTTTTCGAATAATTCTTAACCGTTTGAGAGCCAAGCGATGCAATCGCTTATTCCATGTCAAAAAATGCCACGGAATCGGCTTAGTGGACCGAACTATTGGTACGTTTAACGCTACTGGCAATACACTGTTAATATTACATGATTGAATACCAGTATTTTTGCAAGCTGACTATTTTAGAATGCAAATAATTGGTTAATTAAAAAAACTAAAATTAAATGACAGAATTACCGCGCTGCATAACACATTGTGACATAAGACAGAAGAAACGCGATCGCATCGTATGGCATTTCTCGACCTAATTTTTGCATAAAGCCGTGGCACTCAAATGGTTAATGACAGAGATGTTAGCGTTTAAAGTTTATAACATTTCATTACACGAGATATTTGTCCTAACTAAACCCTTTCCTACAATAGCACGCTGTAGTTTAATATGTTATTCTTTGCCTTGTAATCCAGAGGTCCCGGGATCGACCATCCCTCTAATGACAACAAAACTTTTTTGGGCCTGCCATAGATTTCAGTTATTCTTGCGGACGTTATAATACATAAGTAGTAATAAGAACTTCGTCTCGTCGTGCGTTCGTGACTTCTACTTTCGAGAACCCTGAAACCGTGCCCTGGTAACTATAATCCATTTATACAGGGTGTTCGACAACAGGTGGGCAAAATTTTAAGCGGTGATTCTAGGGGTCAAAATAAGACAAACATCAAAAATAACGAAATAGCGTTTGCGGCTTTGTTTTCCAGTAATTAACGTTTCAAAATTCGAGTAAAAAGCGCCTGAAACCTGCAAACCGCCCAGCACCGACGACTGAACGTCAGATCAGCAGGGGAAGGTACAGTCATAACTAAGAATCGTTGAATAGTAAAAACTTACCTCATGCTATTCTGTTTCTCGGTACTGCAGCATTCGGCTTCGATTCTTGGTTATGACTGTACCGACCCCTGCTGCCCTGACGTTCAGTCGTGGATGCTGGGAGGATTGCAGGTTTCAGGCGCTTTTTACTCGAATTTTTAAACCTTAATTACTGGAAGACAAAGCTGCAAACGCTATTTCGTTGTTCTTGATTTTCGTCTTATTTTAATGTCTAGAATCACCCCTTAAAATTTTGCCTACCTGTTGTCGAACACCCTGTATAACTGCCGTATGGAAAAATATGTACGTATATCCAATACTATGCATTTAATTTGCGACATTTCTCGTTTCCTACCCACATTCTTTAAATGAAACATATGCATTTACCTACAGAAAAACTAATTATACCGGATTATAACTCTCACGAGACCGTTCACTTCTGATCCAAATCATTTCGTATATAACCAGTATTTTATCGGTAATTTGCATTTATTGTTTAAAGCCGGACACCCTTTCATATATCTGTGAAATTAAAGCCAAGCGGTACTTATACATACATACAGGAAAAAATGTACGTAACAACTGTATGTAAACAATATGTACAACTCATCGATATCGCGTCAAGTATACAGGTATTCCGTAACTATTAATGATACAAAAAATTGTTGATATGGAAATTGCATGGCAAAAAGGGACCTATGTTTTGGCCGAAGTGAAAAATCTTTTGCATTATCAGTTTAAGAGATATGATGGTCAAGTATATATTTTTTTTCAGATCATGTAAGCGGCCCTATTGTTGCAGTAAGTGCCACAGCGGGGGTCTACGCTAGGAACGGTAGACCTAAAGAATAACCGCTGTGGCACTTACCGTAACAATAGAGCTGTTTTTACGATTTGCCACTCAAACCGAGACGTATCAACTGGAAATCGGGAAATTTGTAAACGTTATATCTTGAAAACTAATTAAAATCGAGTGTATATGTTACCGCTAAAGTGCGAAAGCCGTTACTGTGCACATTACCTAGTTAATTTGCAGATTAACTGATTTGCTCCGTTAATGTGTGGAATCAAGAGTTTTCCGCACTGTACCTAGGTAATATGCACATTAACGGCTTCTGTATTGTTAAAGTGCGAAAGTTTGTTTCTCTCATTTCCTTCCCTCACTTCTTCTCCTCTATCCCGCCACTTTTAGTTTGGTTTCGTTAATGTTTTGTCGTCGCCTCCTGTTTTTATTTCTCATAATTTGCGTTGGCTGCTAGTGCGTAGCAAAAAAGTTATTAACATTTAAAGTATTCAATTTGTCCTGCAACTAATGCCGATGCCCATTTTTGATATAATTTAATTTAATATAATCGTTTTATTTAAATAGATATGTTACTTTGTAAATTGTGTTTATTATTTCCTTATATTAAAAATGGGTATCAGTATTAGTTAGTGTAGCATATAAAAGGGGTCTGGGGGGCGCAGTCCCCCGGGCAGCAAAACGAATTTAATATATTGTTCAACTCGTGGGGGATGTTTTCACAGAAGCCGTAATTCTGTAGACTTACCATTGATTCTATCAACTAATTTGTTGATTGTTTGATTGTATTAACTGGATTCTTTAGATATCGAAAAATAAGTAATTAACATTATATTAATTTAAGCGTATAGAAACATTGTTGCTGTTCCAACAAAAATCTTATTTTCACTTTAACAAGTGCCTAGTAGGTAATGTGAGAAATGAAATAATTTTCCGCACATCAACGGATCACTCTAGTTAATCTACACATTACCTAGGTAATCTGTGGAATAACTGATTCCCGCACTTTAACGGTAATATATACATTAAAGCTTAATGAATTCGCCTTGAGAAGCACTATTACATGCTCTGAAAAAAATATATGGTTCCATTTAAAAAACAAAACTTGACCATCATATCTCTTAAACTAATAATATAAAAGATTTTTCACTTGACGAAAACATAGGCCCCCTTTTTCCATGCAAATTCCATATCAACAATTTTTTGTATCATTAATAGTTACGAAATGAGAGCTCTGTAACAATTTAGATGAGACACCCTGTATGTACATACACTCGCAATCAAATCAGCATTTCCCAGGAAAAATCCCCCCTCGGACTTTCCGATCTCCCCCTTTCTCCCGGATTTCGGAGTTCCGACCCCTCGCCGCAAGCCAACAATTCCCCGAATTCTCCGCCAATTTGCCGCAGGACTCCAATTCCTTTTTTCTGTAGGGGAGAGGGCCTATACATATGTGTAGCCAACGCTCCCGCGATTCAGCCCACGCTCTATGCGCGCTCTAATTGGACAGTGTTTTTTGTTAATAATTCAAAAACGAAGCTTCAGCCAACATTTTGGTACAGGAATAAGTTATTCAGAGTTATCCTTGCAACACCCATTTCCGAGAGTATTGAGATTTACAGGACACGCTGTATGGAAAATTAGAATTGATATTTATTTAGTATTCATGTTTCTCAGTTATATGCTAAATTATATAATTTTGTTTCTAAATCGATTTAGTTTTGATATCATCAAAACTGAGATTTTGAGAATTCCTGCTTCCCCTATATCGCCATTTCCCCTAGAGAAGCCTGATTTGATCGCAAGTGTAATTTATTCTACACAACGTACGGCAGAATAACATATCAAGCGGATGGAAACTGATTTATAGTGAAAAAAGAATAAAAAGTAGACATAGAATAAAATTTGTTCGCCTGAGGCCTAATTTTTAGGATAGCCAAGTTTGAATATTCACTACATACGCACGCAATTACGACTAATCGTAAGATGCAACTTTCCGCGTGAATGTGTGAAATATGAATATTCCAAGCAGTGCTGAATTAATCAATAAGCAAAATAAGCAAATACTTACGGGATTAGGAAAAGGAAGAGGGCACAGCAGAAATTTGTTGTATTTTAAAACCTTTTACATAGCAATAATATAACTAATAATAAGTGAATTTGTCTTAACTTTTGAAAAAAACCTTGCTGGTAATGGCGGACACATGCAATAAGGATGTGAAGTCTATCTCACGCCCTTTTTGGATACGTACATGAATTCGTTAAAAAAGTATATGTACTCCCTTCAAATTCAATCCAGTATCTTTAATCTTTTACATCTTAGATTTAATTAAATTTTTAAATCTTTTAAGTATTTGCGGCCTTTAAAGGTCGACCTATTAAGACGGCACTGACTCCAGGTATCATCGATTTAATTGAGTATCCACGAACCAGGAATATGTATTACGTAAGTATAGTTTACAAGTGAAATCATTATTGTATATACTTTAAACGGAAAGTCGTATCTTAGCCGCAATTGCATGCATGCTTAGTGAATATTCAAACTCAATTATCTTAAAAATAAAGCTTTGGACAAAAAAACTGTGTTCGATATTTTCCACCAGATTAATATGTTATACGGCCGTACTCTACATAACAGCTCAGAGTTTTCATATCAGTCTTACCTATACGAATTTGTATGTCAAGACCAGACGGTAATTTGAGAGATCGAACGTGTTTTAATAACTGCAGAGAAAAATCTGCTATGTTTTGAGCGTGATGTTCAGTTCTATCAGGTGCTCCACTAGCTGCCATATAAACTCGGCCAACTGTTTCCACCTGTTGAAGATAATAAGAATGTTTTTAATGTTTTTGTTTGTTGATGAAAGTATTACAGAATTACATTTTCAAGCTGCTGTATAAACTTACCTTATAGACATTAAATTCGTCCATTAATGAATCAAAACAGGAGAAAACAGCGTTCATTGATGAAACAATATCCATAGCACCTTCAATTGTGGAATAATCAAAATCGCACAGTTCACAAAACAGAACGGTTATAGACTCAAATGACTGTAAAAAAGAATAGATATTAATATATTTGTGTTTGTTAATAATAACGATGTTGACCAACATCGATTTCACATTTTGTTTGAACTTAATGATTTATGTATCATAGATATGTAAATCTCTATTTTACTCATTTGATTATTTGGTCAAACTTTGATACCAACGACGTAAAATTATTGCACTCTTTTTTTGCTCTTTAATAGTTTTTGACACGTAGAATCCAAAAATGTAGGTCGTAATTTTAGGAAATTAGCGGTTCAAAAGTTATGAGTATGTAAAGTTTCGCGTTTTTAGGGTATTTTACACGCTACTTTGACGCCATATTGCTTCCATCTATTATTTGATTGGCCCGCATAGATGAGCATTCAGAGTTCCTACGTATCATACTACAAACCTAAAAATTTTAAAGATGGCCCTTTGAAAGAAATTATTACATTTCAACAGTATTAATATTTCACGAAAGCGTTGCCGACCGCCTGACGGCGGTCGGATTTAAATATATAGCCTAACCTAATCTAATACTTCCGCTTACTTTATTTAAAAATATATTGTTTCCTAATTGCCTCCATTAATGAATCCATCATATCGACTTTATTTTTGCGGCAAAATCGACGCCATAGATACTCGCACAGGCGGTCGGCGAAATCATTATCGTGGAAACGTGCTCTACCTCGCATCCAATCTTTCGCTGGCCGCCAGTGGGCTTCTATCTTTTGCGTATGTGTGCCATCGTTTGCTTTAATTGAAATATTTAAATGTAATGTAAATTAATTTTGTCGAAAATTTCAATCCAAACCAATTTGAAAGTTATTCACCTACGAATTCCATGCTATGATTGACTGTCTTATGTATATATCCCGCTGCAGCAAGTCCTGCGTAACTTTTGAAACAATCGGTATGTATCTCGCTGCCGGGAATTACATGTTCTTTAATAATTGGGATTAAAGTTACCGCTTCTCTATTTTCTATCACTACCATCCGGCAGTCATCGGTTTTGGTATCGACTATACCTAATACCCAATGACCTTCAACCCTTCTCCCACGATTATATTTTCTTTTACCGAATTTACCTTCGTCAATCTTGAACAATATAAAAATAACAACATTTAAATGACAAATTAAAATTTAGGAACATCAAAGTATTAAAGATAAGAGTTACTTGAACAATAATTGGGGATCCGGATTCCGAAACTCCTCCTAATTTGGGTTTTCCTGCCTGAATACATGAGAAACTATCGACTATCATTTCCCTACAATAATGGAACCACGTTGCAATTGTGTCAGTTGACACAACTTCGCCTCTTATTATAGAGTCGTACAACTCCTGTGCGGTAGATTCATATGACATGTCTTTCGTAAAACAATACAATAATCTAAAAATATTAAACAATTTGTTGAATTGTTGAAATTACAAAAATTAGTTTAAAACTGACTTGATTGCTTTATGCAAAGGTAATTGAACATTTTCAAAAAAGGAATCAATCGTGGCCGCAAATTGTTTACATTTACTCTTGCCGATGGGACAGCGATATCGACTAAGTCCACATTCGGACACCGTGTATAATTTCATCGGTCTACGATGAACCGGGCAATGTTTGTACGTACGTAAAAGGCTATTTTCACACGCCCAACTAATAGCAGCTTCTCTTGAAGCTGGTAAAGTTGAAAAATTCCACTTTATATGGTCCATATTAATTTAAAAAGAACCGAAAAATAGAACACAAAAAACACAAAACTAAACGAAGGAAGTAGATAAAACGAAAAAAAATGTTTGAAAATGAGCACAGTGAAATAATTGTTGTTTGTTAAAACAAGATTCGTGCGAAACAAATTGAAATGAAACATTTGATTTATACCGCCAAAATGACCGCAGAATGCTCATCTATGCGGGCCAATCAAATAATAGATGGAAGCAACATGACGTCAAAGTAGCGTGTAAAATACCCTAAAAACGCGAAACATTACATACTCATAACTTTTGAACCGTTAATTTCCTAAAATTACGACCTACATTTTTGGATTCTACGTGTCAAAAACTATTAAAGAGCAAAAAAAAGGGCAATAATTTTACGTCCTTGGAATCAAAGTTCAGCCGATTATTTCAAATAAAAAGGAAATATCAACTCCTTCTTGACTGGTAGTGACATTATTTTACTATTTGTAGTTATAAAAGGATTATATAAACTTTACATGTATCTTTCTTTTAAGTATAGATTTATATACTCAATGTAAATATTTTATAGTATCATAAAATATTGAAAGGAATTTAAACAAATTTAGTGTACCATGTCATACAAAATTATTTTTTTAAATAAGGTCAACTATTTTTCTTTATTTAAATAATTTGACTTAACTATTTGCTTTTGTTATGCAATTTAAACTTATAATTCTGATTTAAACTTGAGTAAATTACTAGTTCGTAAGAAAAAAATATATTCTTTTATTTTTCCCATGTATGTAAATTCACACAAAAAGATCTTTATAATTACTTTTTGAATTAACTGATTATTTTTCATCTTAAAAGGTTATCGAAAATCATTCAAATGTATTTACATTTTCTTATATCGTTTCATTGGGTATGTATCATCGTATAATTTTTAAAATGATAGATACTTCAAAGCTGCTCATAACACCAGGCAGACGAGATACTTGGCCCGGGTTTCTCGCTAAGATACTTGCATTTTCTAACAAGCTTATAACCCTCGGACAGCGAATCATGGACAGAACCACAATTTGAATTTAATTTTATATTTCACATTATTTTTATCTTTTAAATTTTACGCTGTTTCTCTAAAAATTATTCTCCCTATATATGAAATTCTTTCATTTAAAAATGATACATTTAACTTTAGGGTAGTATCTTTGTATATATTTTATAACTCCGCTGTTCAAGTATCAAGATATTTGCTAGGTACTTATATACATAACAAATGTTATTTTTGTTTGTTTACAGTTCTACCAGAATAGATTTTAAGACTGTTTCCAATTAGATATTTTCAATAATCGACTTTTGCTCTAGGGCCTACTCCAAGGCCGGCGCGAGGCAGGTTCAACGCGTTTGCCGGAACCTGGCCCCGCGTTTTGAAAGGCCCCGCGGTCTACGAAAACTCATCAGACATTTTGCAGGAGCCCCTGTACAGTAGATTGAATATTCGGGTGTGAGTGGTAAATGCAATCGCATAATCCACTAATCGATGACAACTTCCTGCACACTGACATGAATCTTGAATCGCGTTTCATACGTTTTAAACAAAGACGCATCAGACTGTCCCATTGTTACCGTCTTCGACGTTGGGCATTACTCAATCTCTCGACGCGTGGCGAGGATTCTGATTGTTACGTCCCGGTGAATTTAAGACGACGAATATTTTTGAAAGTAATATTGTGGTATAAACCGTGTCATATACATTTTGATCTCTCACCTGCTGTTATACATTTTGAAAACGTTTGATTTCTGATGAGTATTTGTTTTCAATTATTTTCCCTCTTTTAACTTAAAATCAACCCTAACTGAAATTGCATCGCAGAAAAAACGTATGGCGCTGATACAAATGAAATCCAATACATATAACTAGTTGAGAATTTGAATTCGTTATTATTAAATTAATTTCGCCCCAAATGTTAAAATTTCGATAAAGTAAGCAATAACAGAAATGGGTAATTATTTAGATTACGGACGGCACCTCTGATTTCGATGATTTTTAAATATGTTGTAGAAATCAATATTTTGAACAACTTTTTCCTATACATATAACCGCCGCCCGGCCTTAGTTTTCGAGATATTTTCGAAAAACTGTCGAAACTAACATTGTATTCTGGCCCCGCAAAAGGTCATGTCGGCCCTGCCCTACACATTCTATTGACGACTCTGATGTAATTAATTCATTACTTTATTTTGGATGAAATTCCGAATACGACCGGTCGCCGATCAAGATGAAATTTTAAGGGGGAGGGGGGAGGTGGGAAGGGACCGTAAATATAAAGTAGTATCTTCGGCTTCCTATTAGTTTCCGAGATATTAATTAAAAACTTTCATACAATACATAGAATTTTTCCTATACAGACGTAACTAACACAACCGTCTTCGCTGAAGTAAGCTGACATCGTCAAGTGCCGAACAGCCGTTGACACAGCGGGGGTTCCAACCTGACTATCTATAGGGTGTCCTATTCAAAACTTTAGAGATACAACGACTGTTGTAGCGTTGCCGGCCGCCTCCCGGCGGCCGGAAATTTATCTAGGCTAACCTAACCTACGTATAAATCAAATGTGTTTAATTCCATGAGAATTAGTAATACAATATAAAACATAACGTAATGTAACTAAAAAAATGGATTTTACATGGTACACCCTATAGAAATGGAAGACCCTTCACGATGACGGTTGCTACAGCGAAGACGGTAGTGTTAGTTACGTCTGTATAGGAAAAATTCTATGTATTGTATGAAAGTTTTTAATTAATATCTCGGAAACTAATAGGAAGCCGAAGATACCACTTTATATTTGGGGTCGTCTACCTGCTCCCAACCAACCCTCCAAATTTCATCTTGATCGGCGACCGGTCGTATTCGGAACTACAGCCTTTATTTTGACTAATTTTCTATAATATAATATAATTAACTCTTGTTAAAATATATGTAAATACATGTTTATAAAGGTATATTAACAAGATATTTTAAAATATGATAGATGAAATAAGAAAATAAGAGAAAAATGTATGAAATTCTATTATAAACAATGTACTTAAAAAATAATAATATTAAATATTTGTTAAAGCGGATACACTATATAGATAATGATTCAATAACTTTTGTTTCAGTGTCTGTAAGTGAATATGCAATACAGTATACATATAATCCTTTTACTAGAATTTCAGCAAATATTTTACAATGAAAATTTTAACAACGCTTTAAAGGATTATTAAATACCTCACATGTACTCAAAGGGCTTACACCAGCACGTAGTCTGTCAGCCACTGTTTGAGGAATCATAGAATATAAAAGCTCGTCGCTTTTGTTCTTCCAACGATCCAGAAGTGCATAGCTGTTTTCTAGTTCGGTTGATCTCTGCTCTGCCCTTTCGAACATCATTTCCAATCTGATGCGAAAGTTCCAATAAAAATATTCACATTGATAACGAAACTTTAAGTAAAATTGGGTGAAATAACAGTATATTTTATCTTACCCGAGATTAAAAAATAATATTGTACCTTCCACAATGTTGCCATCCTGCAAGAACTAACTCTCGACTCAAGCCATGAGGATTCAGGTCATTCAGATAGAGGCCCATATTAAGCAATTCGTCTAAACTGTTAATTCTGATAAAAACAGTTTCTGTTATTTTTCCAATTTGTTAATGTTTAATATTTATACAGTGCGTTCGGCTATTGATGGGCATTCCTTCGGGGGGTGATAGCCGGGGTGATTCTAAACAACTTTTTATCCGACTTCGAAACGGAGGAGGATACTCAATTCGATGTGTATATTTTTTTTTTTTTTTCATATATGTTCACCGATTACGCCGAGACGGATTGACCAATCGGAACGAAGCTTTTTGCGTCTTGTAGAGTATAACTCCTCATTGGTCCCATAAAAAAAATATTTTGCGTTTTTTCATTCCTAACGACTTTTTTTTCTAAATGTATGTTCGCCAATTACTCCGTGACGGATGGACCAATCGGAACGAAACCTTTTGCATCTTGTAGAGTATTTCTCCCACTTTGTCCTGTCCAAAAAGACATTTTGCATTGTTTCATTGCTAACGATTTTTTTGCAATGAACGTAATGCTTGATTTACATTTTTCACCGATTACCGGGAGACGGATGGACCAATCGGATCGAAAATTTTGTATCTTGTGGAGTATATCTCCCGATTGGTCCAGCAAAACAATTTTCATATATTTTCATTCCTAACGACTTTTATCGCAAAAAACGTAATACTATATTTATATCTTCCGGCGTTTATGCTGCAGGGAATGTACCGATTGCGATGAAACCTTTCACATTTAGTAGGAGGTATATCCGCGATGATATCACTTGCAAAAATTTATTGGATTTGTTAACAAGTACTGTTATAGCAAAAGATCTACGCCTTCATGTTATTCTGCAAGGAATGTATCCTTCGCGATGAAACCTTTCATATTTGGTAGGAAATACAGGGTGTCAGGCGACTACCTCGACAGCCGTAGAGGGATGATTGCTAAGGGGATTCTAAACAACTTTTTCCTTTGCCAAATTGTTGGTTAAGGCTTGGTTTTCGAGTTAATAACAAAACCACCGACCAATACGAACGCGTATAGAGCGCAGTCCCAGGGACTACAGTGTCGGGTGCGAAAACCGGACCTGACGTAGGTCGCGAACGATCGGCTTGGCACCCCGTTGGCATAGCACAATAAAAAAACTGAACTGGTAGAACATTTTTATTCGCTGTTTAGAACGAATACGGAACCTAATCTCTTATTGCCTGTCATAATGTAAAAAAGGAAATTCTAAGGATTCTAAACAACAAATAAAAATGTTTGAAGTGGTATAATTAATAAACGTTTGAATTGGAGGCTACGCCAATGATGCAAAATTTGAAAACAACTTAAATGAAACTTACACATTCGTTTCTAAATTAACTTGCTACGCTGAAAGCAAATAATTCCCACTAGGTCACTGTGTCGATTCTGGACATTCGACGAGGAAACACCTCGCCTATTATTCATACCTAAGTGCAATAAATGAGGGGAGTTCACTGGCCCGATCATGAAAACTGCTGTTCTACCGAACGTGTTTCCTCGTTTCCCAGTGACAATTATCTGCTTTCAGCGTAGTAGGTTTCATTTAAATTGTTTTCAAATTTTTCATCATTAACGTGGCTTCCAATTCAAACGTTTATTAATTATTCCATTTCAATCATTTTCATTTGTTGTTTAGAATGCTTAGAATTTCATTTTTTACATTATGATAGGCGATAAGAGATTAGGTTCCGCATTCATTTTAAACAACGACTAAAAATGTTCTACCAGTTCAATTTTTTTATTGTGCTATGCTAACGGGGTGCCGAGCCGTTCGTACGCGACCTACGTCAGGCCCGGTTTTCATAGCCGACATTGCAGTCCCTGAGCCCGCGCGCTGTACGCACTCGGATTGGTCGGTGTTTTTTGTTAATAACTAGAAAAACAAGCCTTTTTTCCAACATTTTGGAAAAGGAAATAGTTGTTTAGAATCACCTTAGCAATCATCCCTCTTCGGCTGTAAAGGTAGTCGCGTGACACTCTGTATGTCCGCGATGATCCCACTTGCAAAAATTTATGAAATTTGTTGTTTATTAACCATTTCAATTTGGTCAATATTTTTTCGGTTTATGGTTATTAGCTAAGCAACAGAAACCCAAAATCACCTTACACTATTCTACAAATACTACAGGTTCCACTAAAAAGTGTGAAATAAAATAATTTTTAACAAAAAACATATCCGACTTCGAAATGCACTAAAAAGTGTCAAATAATTTCTATTTCATTTATACCAATATTCCAGAGGTATTAATAATATCTACTTAATCGTTAAATAGGATACCAAATACATTTCAAAGTTTTCGGAGGCGGCGCAAAATTATAAACTTTTCTTCTACTAGGAAGATCCTAGTTCAGGGGTCGGCAACATATGACAAATGACCCATTTGATAATTTCAAGTAAACAACATTCAACGGGAATCAACATACCCATTGCGGATTAACTATACTGCAGTTTACGAGAGACCATACTTAACTCGCGCAGCTCAGTAGGTTTGGGGACATTTTTAATAACGTATGTGATATAATTTTTTCTTTGAAAAATAATAGAAATTTCATTGTATCGTGTATCTTTACCATATCGTCATCGTGTATCAGTTATCGTACGTCATATATTTCTGTCCACCATTTAAATGATCGCAAAGTAAAAAAGCAAGCTGAAGAGAGGAATGACACACGTTATTAAAAATGTCCCTAGACCTAGTGAGCTGCGCGAGTTGTGTGGTCTCTCGAGAATTGCAGTATACATACATATACATCAGAAGTGCTACCAACTTCTGATACAATCGTTACAAATACAAATGTTTTCTGCCGTATCTATAACGTTCCGCTTTTTCTCTTACGACTTATTAATTACCAAGATCGCCATACCGCAATCAAATCGTTATTGGCAGCATCGTTTGTTCGGGTATTTTTAATTTTGCGCCGCCTCCGAAAACTTTGAAATGTATTTGGTATCCTATTTAACGATTAAGTAGATATTATTAATAGCTATGGAATATTAATATAAATGAAATAGAAATTATTTGACACTTTTTAGTGCATTTCGAAGTCGGATTTGTTTTTGGTTAAAAATTATATTATTCATTTATCAGAATGCTTGTTAAGACTTAATTTTTGAATTATTAAAGAAAAATACCGACTAACAAAACCGCGCATAGTGCCCAGACTTAGCCGCAGAAGTGTTGGCTAGGACTAGGAGAATCTTTGGCTGCCGTCGCAGTGTTGCTGACACACCGTAGCTAGCAGTAAACGTCGATAAATTTATACTTATTTATAGTTGAGCATTTTGTAACTATCGTCTGACGTTTACTATGTCACCGACGCGACGCGGTGCCAAGTTGTTTGTTTGTAACCATAATCAAGCCTCCTTCTCGTAATCAACACTCCCACGGCTAGCAATAAACCCGCGCTGTTATTAGTCATGTGTGTGAAGTTGGCGCCGCACTTTTCGAATTTTGTATTTTTTCAAATTGTGCTGCATTTTGCTACGTTTGTGCCGTACTGTCCCGTAAATCGCAATTCTGTAAACCAAAGCGTACTCAAGGAAATAAAAAAAAAAAAATTTTTTTATAGCCTCGCACTTTTCGAATTTTGAGTTTTTCTTTTTTGTGTCGTACTGTGCTATGTTTGTGCTGAATTGTACCGCATACGAGAGATTGATAACATCAATAACAATAAAGAAAAAAAATAAAAACAAAGTTATACTAGTCCCGCACTTTTGCCGAAACAAACTTTTATTCTTTTAGATAATTTGTGATAACTTGTACTACGTTGTGCCGTCGATATAAACGCGATATCTCTATTCATTTTGTAGATAAAAAATGTTGAATTTTTAGGAATAAAAAATTTAATATTCGTATAATTTGCGAACGGCGACAGATAATCGAATTCTGCAAGTTGTGCTGAATTGTGTTACTTATAATCTGCGAGACACATGTGTTAAAAGTTGAAATTAGCTTAAAGGTCAATAAAAATTAACAAAAAAGGGAGGGGGTGATTCAAAAATTTGATATTTCCGAATTTTCTTTGATTGTGCCGGATTGTGCTGGACTAACATAACAACTTTTTTTAATGACAAAATTTCGTCAGATCCCCAGATTTCGCAGCGCCGGCAAAATTAGGAATCAGAATATTCTGCAAATATGTTGAAACGTGTGTTTTTCAACTGTAATGTTTTAATGTCTGATAGTGATAAATAATATATATGTATATGTATACAGGGTGGGGCAATAACTGTGTCCACCTTGAATTTTGCCGTTAAAATTGCACGGCATAAAGAGGGCGATGTTGTGATATACAGTAAAAACTGGATATATGCAACAAAGATTGGGACCCAGACGTTGCATATATCCAGTCGAGGTGTCGAATCTCTGGTTACACGCGACGAGCAGCCAAGCGTGAACGTAGAAAAGGACAGACAATGGCGGAAAGAGAGAAATCCGATGATCAAAGGAAAGAGCCGAAACGTATCGGTGTGACTAATACTAATTGAATCAAAAAACTTTTTTATTTTTGACTTTTTTTTAATGAAACTTGTACTAGCGCATTGGTGAGATTTTTGCGATTAAAGTGGTACCAAACACGATATAGTTTGAATTATAATTACTTGCTAAAATTGATGTTAAAAGTTGGCGAAAAACAAAGGACGATTGGAAATGAAAACCGGTTGCGGTGTCGGCTCGGGTTTCAAACGTTGCATATATCCAGCCGAGGTGTCGATTCTGGGCATTTAAACGTTGCATATATCCAGTCTTGGTATCGATTCTGTGTCCGTACAAATCGTTTGTACCGTGCCGCGTTACCTATTCTACGTTCGTACAAATCGTTTGTACCGTGCCGCGATACCTATTCTACGTTCGTACACAACATGCAACGTGTTGCATGTTGCATGTTGCGTGTTTGATGTATCTTTGGTGTACGGCCTGCCTTGTACATATGTACAGTTTTATTATTATTTTAATAAATAAATATAATTCAAATTATATCGTGTTTGGTACCATTTTAATCAGAAAAATCTCACAAATGCGTTAGTAAAAATTTCATTAAGAAAAAGTTAAAAATAAAAAAGTTTTATCGTTCAATTAGTATTAGTCACACCGATATTACGGTCGGATCATATTACACGGTTTCCTCGCCGAGCGGCTCGGTTCGGCTTAGGGGGATCCCCCCAAGTGGAGGGGATAGCGATGTTGCATATATCCAGCCAAACTTTTGTTGCATATATCCAGCTTTTACTGTAAACATTTTTTGCGTGTGTGGAGATATAGAGGAGATTTCAAGGTCATCTTTGTTTTTTTAAGTGAAATGCTATGTTTTTTTTATCGCGATGTGATAGCCGATGCTGAGACGAGTTCGGCAAGCTATCATTAAAGGTCATACAAGGTCAAATGTGGTAGTAAAATAAACTTTCTTACATTACAGGAGATGTTCGAAGTGAAGGCCGTTTTCGTCAATGCAAAAAAAACACAAATGACCTTGAAATCTCCTCTATGTCTCTACATACGCAAAAAATGTTTGTATCATAACATCGCCCTGTTTATAGCGAGCAATTTTTATATATAACATTCTTTCATATTATTACAAATATCGGCAAAATTCAAGATGGACACAGTTATTGCCCCACCCTGTATACCACTTTTTGTGTTACTCGGAACCAACGACGTGGACGTAGCGGTATTCTAGCTCCTTTCTATTTTTTTGCGTTTTATATGTATTTTTATATTTTTTTGTGATTTTTAATTTATGCTTTTTTTATATTTTTGTTATTTTGTTGTTCATATCAGTGTTATTTGTAATATTATAGGTGTGCTTGGAACAAAGTAATATTTTTTCTAGCATGTCCACTGCCTACATGCTCAGACCTATAAGAAAAATTCTATACGAACTAAATTACGAGATGGAGAATAAACTCGAAAAAGTATTTTGTTTTATTTTATAAAAGAAATGCCAAAATTTGCATTCTGTCACACTCGCGCGGCAGCTACCAGCACATGCCTTTATACAGGGTGTCCCAGAACTGGGGTAGGAACAGAAGAGGGATGATTGGTGAGGTCATTCTAAACAACTTTTTCCTTTGCCAAAATGTTGGTTAAGGCTTCGTTTTCGAGTTATTAACGAAAAACACTGGCCAATCAGAGCGCGCCGTTAGCGCGGGCCGAACCACGAGAGTGTTGGGTATGTTCCGCGCGGTCGTGATCAAGTGCCTCGGCACTACGTCGGTATGATGGGATTCGTTGAGTAGAAGTTGCATCGGATAATGAATAAAAAAAAGAAAAGAATAATTGTATCGAATTATTGATTACTCATGAACAACGAATCCTATTACACCGACGTGGTGCCGATGCACTTGATCACGACCGCGCGGAACATACCCAACACTCTCGTGGTTCGGCCCGCGCTAACGGCGCGCTCTGATTGGCCAGCGTTTTTCGATAATAACTCGAAAACGAAGCCTTAACCAACATTTTGGCAAAGGAAAAAGTTGTTTAGAATGACCTCACCAATCATCCCTTTTCCGTTCCTACCCCAGTTCTGTATGTACTCCGCTACACGCAAGCGCATGCAAATTCCTAACGTCTGATTCCTAACTTTGCCAGCGCTGCGAAATCTGGGGATCTGACGAAATTTTGTCATTAGAAAAAGTTGTTGTGTTAGTCTAGCACAATCCGGCACAATCAAAGAAAATTCGGAAATATCAAATTTTTGAATCACCCCCTCCCTTTTTTGTTAATTTTTATTGACCTTTAAGCTAATTTCAACTTTTAACGCACGTGTCTCGCAGATTATAAGTAGCACAATTCAGCACAACTTGCAGAATTCGATTATCTGTCGCCGTTCGCAAGTTATACGAATATTAAATTTTTTATTCCTAAAAATTCAATATTTTTTATCTACAAAATGAATAGAGATATCGAGTTTATATTGACGGCACAACGTAGCACAAGTTATCACAAATTATCTAAAACAAAAAAAGTTTGTTTCGGCAAAAGTGCGGGACTAGTATAATTTTGTTTTTATTTTTTTCCTAATTGTTATTGATGTTATCGATCTCTCGTTTGCGGCACAATTCAGCACAAACATAGCACAATACAGCACAAGAAAGAGAAACTCAAAATTCGAAAAGTACGGGGCTCTCAAAAATTTTGTTTTTTTTTAATTTTCTTGAGTACGCTTTGATTTACAGAGTTGCGGTTTACGGCACAATACGGCACAAACGTAGCACAATGCAGCACAATTTCAAATAATACGAAATCCGAAAAGTGCGAGGCCAACTTCACACACATTTATTAGTCGATGTTTTTTATTATTAATTGAAAAGCTAAGCCTTAACTTAGGTTTTTGGTAAAATAATTTTTGGTGAAGGAAAAAATTGTTCAGAATCACCCCAACTACCACTCCTAAAATAATGCCTACCCAGTATGTACATGTACAACACAGGTAATTGATATACTTACAAAGGGCTACATAGGAAAATGATTGCATCGATGTCTTCAATGTATCTCATTTGACCTTTCAGTAAGATACTCCTAACTCCTTGACTTCCTCGTCTATCTAATCCAGAACTTGTACTTGCAATGTTTGAACTTGATGACATATCGTCATTTAATCTTAGCAGTTCTAGTTCAAACATTACCGAATGTAAATACATTACCTGTGCACACGAATTTTCCATTACTTTATTAGAAATTTTATGAAAATTTATCAAGTGTACTAAAATATAATTAGATACTAAAATTAATTATTACTATGCAATTATGTCATATGAAAAGTTAATCGTTTGTTAAGACAAATTAATGTCTAGCAAAATTTATGAATACTGATACAAAATTGAAGCTACAAATAAAGATATTAAAAGACTGAGTTTTTTTTAAAAGAATTATGTGCTTCAGTTATGATATACGATTGTTAAATTATCTATAATTTCATGGTGTAAACATATTTAAAAAAAAGAATGTAATCACCTGCTGTTATTCTAAGAACAAGCTCCAAATATATTTAAAATCATTTAATAAAAGATTGTACACGACATTAGTTAAGTTATACAGAAACGATGAACATTTGAGTGTTGATATACAAAACATAGAAATAAAATAGTATTGCACATTTTAAATACAAATTGTCTTCTATACAGGGTGTCAGAAGAAAAAACTGAATACCTTTACCAGTTACATATTTGATAAATCATTTTGAATCAAAAAGGTCACACGCACTATGGGTCTTATTTTTCATTTATTTTAAAAAATAGTTCCTGTATTTGTAATTGGAATGGAGCAATTAGAAATTCGATTTGTAATAACGTATATGACCATTTCGATGGAGAATGACGTACCATCGCGACCCTCATGATAAAATCAGGATTCTCTACGAAAATCACTGTCCAATCAGAACGCGCATAGAGTGCGGGCTGAAGCGCGAGAGTGTTGGGTATGCTCTGCGTTCGAACCGTGGTCGTGATCAAGTGCACCGGTACCGCGTCAGTATAATAGGACTCGTTGGACAAAAGTTGAATCGAATAATGAATAAAAAAAAGAAAAGAGTAATACATAGTATCGAATCATTGGTTGCTCATGAACAACGAATAAAGTAATAAATCGTTGTTAATGTAGAATGAATAAATCGAATTAATCTAACAACTTTATTCGTTGTACGATATGGATAAAAAAAATACTTTGGAGTCAATAAACATGTTAAATTTGAAAAACTTCAAAAATAATTTAAATCCAACTTACCCATTCGTCCGTAAATGATCCAGCTGATCTCCAGACGGGATAATTGAATTCACTCAACCGCACGGTTACTATCACTTTTAACAGAATTTCACTACGTGGTCCGAAAGCTATTGCAGCTGCTGTTGCACTGGGCAAAAATGAAAAACATATAATATTCGGCACGACTTCATAACGTTTTCACGACGTTACTGCTCTTCCTTTCCAACTTCAAATGGGACTGTTAGCTTTAGCGTCTGCGAGGTTTTTTCGCTCTCTGTTTTTTTCTACACTCGGAAATAGGTCATGGTCGTGGCCATAAATTTGTCATTCTCGGTAACCGAGAGTAACCGAGAGAAGCTCGTGTCGACCCTTTGAATATTGCCGAACGTAGAAAAGGACAAAAAGCGAAAAAAACCTCGCAGACGCTATCGTCGAATCAACAGAGACGGTTTGGTGGTTTAGTAAATAGTTTCTTGATACAAAGTTTGATACAACTGTTATACCGACGTTACGACCGTTAGAAAGACGGTGAACTACTGACCTCGGGACTTGCTGATAGTGCAATTTATTAGTGGGATTTCAAAGGAAAGATGAGGGTAGGGGTATCCTGTGGGATGGGTTCGGTGATGCAACCTCTGGGAAGGATTCGTAAACATAAATATACGTAATACTGACAGGAACTGGTAACGTACAGGCCCGAAAAATGGAAGAGGGTTGGATACATAAGTATTAGGAAGACCCATGTGAAAAGGGCCATCTGCCAGTCAGAGATATGATTGGGAAAGAAAAATGGTAAAGGTCTGGAAACAAATAGTGACCGCATCTGCTTGTCTCGGGACCGCAGATTAGATCAGTATCAAGAGGAAGATAGTACAACGCTAAAGCTAGCAGTCCCATTTGAAGTTGGAAAGGTAGACCAGTAACGTCGTGAAAACATTACGAAGTAGTGCCAAATATTATATCTTTTTCATTTGTGCCCAGTGCAACAGCAACTACAATAGCTTTCGGACCACGTAGTGAAATTTTGTGAAGAATGATAGTGACCGTGCGGTTGAGTGAGTTCAATGATCCCGTCTGGAGATCAACTGGATCATTTACGGACGAATGGGTAAGTTGAATTTAAATTTTTTCAAATTTAACATGTTTATTGACTCAAAGCATCGCGGGCCCCCACGGCGGCGGCATCCCCACTCCCGGGCGATTAGGGTATAAGTAGGACCGATCGATGCGCGGATCCATGAGTTGCCTCGGGGCTTCAGCCCCGAGGGGACCTCCACGGAAATCCGGACCGGAGCACTAGCTTAGATTCCGAACGCTAGCTTACTCAGCACCGCATTCTGCCTTTGGCAGTCGATTCCGTCCAGCTTTGTGGCGCTACCCAGGCTGGCCAGGATTGGTCGTCGACTCGTTCGCTGTTCGGTTCTACCTCGGCGTACGAGAAGACGAGCCGCGTGAGGCAAGCGGGTAGCAACTCCACCGCAGCGCGAAACACCGCAGCGCGATTTAATAAACACCGTCGGCCCAATCGGGCCAATCCTATCCCGACTCTGCGTTTGCGTACGTTTGCGTTCTTTTGCGTTCGCGCTCCGTTCAGCGCTTTCACTCCGCGCTCCGACATCGCGCCGTTAGTTTGTAAGACCGCGTAGCAACGGCTACGAACCGCGCTAGAATTAAGGCAGCGTAATTTCTGTGACGGACCGGGTTCCGTCCGTAGCTCTTAAGTCATGTACACTAGATTTAAGGTTTGGCTCCACGCGTCTAACCACCAGACGATATTCTGCCTGTAGCTACCGAGGCAGGAGAACACCGCCGCCCAGCCAGCCCGGCGGGGATAGACGCCGCGCTGTACCCAACCAAAGTTTCTTTGAATAAATATTTCTATTTTTGATACTAACACGGCCTCATTATTTACCGACCTGTTCCCATGCGAACCCTGGCACGGGGAAACCGCCGCGATGCGCAACGCCGTGCGCACCGAACCGACCGACCCCGTTACATGCTTGGATAAGTGCAACATCGCTATCCCCTCCACTTGGGGGGATCCCCCTAGGCGAACCGAGCCGCTCGACGATGAAACTGTGTAATATGATCCGACCGTAATATCGGTGTAACTACTACTAATTGAACGATAAAACTTTTTTATTTTAAACTTTTTCTTAATGAAACTTTTACTAACGCATTTGTGAGATTTTTATGATTAAAATGGCACCAAACACGATATAGTGTGAATTATATTTATAAACAATAGTAATAGAATAAACAACATAGAATTGACACCACGACTGAATATAAATGATGTGTACGGACGCAGAATCGACATGTCGGCTGAATACAAAAGCTGTGTACGAACTCAGAATCGACACCTCGCTTGGATAAATGAAACATTAAATGCCCAGAATCGACACCTCGCTTGGATAAATGAAACCACTGGGTCCTAATCTCGGTTGCATTTATCCAGGTTTTACTGTATTATTATTTTTTTTTTTTATTCATTATTCGATTCAACTTTTGCCCAACGAGTTCTATTATACTGTCGTGGTACCGATGCACTTGATTACGACCACGGTTCGAACGCAGAGCATACCCAACACTCGCGGTTCAGCCCGCGCTCTACGCACGCTCTGATTGGACAGTGTTTTTCATTAATAACTCGAAAACGAAGCCTTAAGGGGGTAGACGTCGGTATTACAGAAGTTTTCTCGTTGGGCCTGGTGGAGCCACTTGCGTGGTCTGGTACGAACTTGAAAGGTTTAATTCTCAGCTAGTGTACGCGCAAGACGATCTAGGAAGGCAACAGCGCTTCAAATATTTTTACAAACACATTCAAACGCTCATCTCGCCAGAGGCGAACGAAAGCGAAACATTGGCGCGTGTTTAGAGTGAGATGTACGGTGATCGTGCTATCCTTCTTTCAACCTAAATGATAGAATTGCCCGCTCCGATAAATTGTGACTGACTGAACGTGTGGATTTTATATAGCGTACCGCGGCACCCCTCGCTGCTGAAAAATATATGCCTACTCTGAAGAACCGAAGGAACGTGCAATCTGAGAAATTTTTTAGAAAAAGTTATTAACTTCCTTAAATAAATGTTATTTAATTAATAAAAATATACAGGATACGTCATGCAATTTCTGACGGGTTATATCTTGAATTTGGTAAGAGATAGGAAAAAGCTGTTTATGTAAAAGTTCAATGGTATGATAATGTCTATTTTTCTGTGATTTCATTTTCTCCGTGAATGCAACGATGCACTCAAAAAATGCAAACCCACTTTTTATTTAAATGGAATTGCATTTTTTTTTTACTTGTGTCAACTCCTTGAAACATTCTGCATAAAAAAGTACTATAGTACTATTAGAACTAATAAATAGAGGGACTTCACGTCTATATAAAAGCTGAATATATGCAACAGAGATTGGGAACCAGACGTTGCATGTATCCAGCCGAGATGTCGAATCTCGAATTGGATGCGACGACCAGCCAAGCATGAACGTAGAAAGGGACAGACAGTGGAGGAGAGAGAGAGAGAGATCTAATGATCAAAGGAAAGAGCCGAAACGTATCGGTGTGACTAATACTAATTCAATTATAAAACTTTTTTATTTTTGACTTTTTTTTACTGAAACTTTTACTAACGCATTGGTGAAATTTTTCTGATTAAAATGATACCAAACACGATATAGTTTGAATGGGGCGAGGTTATGGGGCGCTGTGAAAAATCCAGGCGATGGACCGCAGCCAAAACTTAGCGAAAAGGGACAATCTCAACATGCAGAATGAGAGAAGGACAGCATGACTGTAGTGCGTCTCAATCAGCGTTCGGGCGATGTTGCCTTTTTCGCTTGCCTTCGCAGCACAGTTCGAGTGACGTAATCAAGCTAACGCTTGAATCTGACTACGATTCCAAATCGGCAGTCATTCTACTTAGACGCCACCTTATAACTACCAGCTGAACTACATTTGTCACGTGACTTGCTCTGTAGTATCCAGATAATGGCGGAACTTGTCTTTGGGAATGCTTTTACGGGAATCGGTTATTCGTCCTTATATGAGAAGATTTTGAGCTGAATAAGGGCTCATTCGAAAGAGGAAGGTTCAATGAAGGGGGCTCAACAAAGCGTTTGAGTCACAAAACTCTTACAGTTACCTAAAATGTACTTGGATTCAGCGGGCGTATTTTCTCGAATTTTCCTCTACTTTGGACACTCATATTATTAGATATCAACACAATCTCGTTAAACCATCGGTTGAGCTCCCTGCATTGGACCTTCCTCTTTCGAATGAGCTCTCACCCAGCCCCAAGTCTTCTCATATAAGGACGAATAATCGATTCCCGTAAACCCCTTAATAGGCCCATTTTGCCGGTAATATCACCTCGCTGCATTACCCGTGTCTACCCCCTTAATGAATTCAACTTCAAAAGCACTATCAAATAATCGAAAGAAAAATATATAGTTCCATTTAAAAAACCAAACTTTGCCATTATATTTTTGAAAATAAAATTAAACATTATATGATTTTTGTTTCTATATTACATTTAATTTAATTCCTACTTCGCTTATATCGTCATTTTTCTTAGGGAAGCCAGGTTTGGTCAGGAGTGTACTCGTAATGTTAATAAGGGCACAGCTTCCTTGTGCCATGACCTGTATGCGTGCACTCACACAATCAACGGAAAGCATGCACGTATACGCCATGCGTGAGAGAGACACTCGATTTCGTAGATTTCGTTTTTTGTCTCGATAATTGTAGAAATGAAATTTTCGCGGGTACAGCACCCACGGGTAGACTTCACCACAGGGTGGTCTGGTCCATTTGAACGGTAATAAACACCATACGTTGAGAAAAATGGTATTTTCGACACTGTAAGATTGAGACAGACGCTGTTATAAGCAAACAACATGGCTGCCGAATGCTGCGTTCGGCTGCATTTTAGCATATATTGGATGATTTAATGGTGTTTTCACCCATAGCACACCAGACCAGCATTCCTTAAACTAGCACAATATCACTGAAATTCGATTTTTCACAATTTATCACTTCTGGAAGACATAAAACGAAATTTACGATTTGCACGCATCAGACGTAAAATAGACGTAAGAATAGTTCACTGATTTTCCGTCAGAGGCATTGATGGTATATTTGACGACGTTATCATCGGGGTCGATAAAAACACAATCAGCCGATAAACGTAAATTCTAATTTGACACCACAAACGGCGATTCGAATATAGCCTCAAGTACGGTATAGTTGCCGCAACGTATTAAGACTTCAGTCACGCTGTTGTCACATCTGTTACAATTGCAACTGGCTCGAGCCGATTTTGATTCCTGCCAGACATAGAAAAGAATAGGGCGCTCGAGAGAGAAAGAGGTCCGAGAATGAAACAATACATGTACTAATGTGTGCAACCATAAAACTTTTCTATTCATATTTATAATCATGTTTTTTTATCAATGAAATTACAGATAGAATACTTGAAATGGTATGCCAGAAAAATGAATTATAAAACTTGCACCATATACAGTGAAAACTCGATAAATGTACATAACTATTGCCGGTCCACTCCGCAACTGTTCTGGAATAGGAGAATCATTTTTCGAATTTGATTGCCTAGTCAGTACAGTAACGATAAAACTGTTTTATTTTTAACTTTTTCTTAATGAAATTTTTACTAACGCATTCGTGAGATTTTTATGATTAAAATGGTACCAAACACGATATGATTTGAATTATATTTATTTATTAAAATAATAATGAAACTGTACATATGTATAAGGCAGGCCGTATACCAAAGATACATCAAACACGCAACATGCAACATGCAACACGTCGCATGTTGTGTATGAACGTAGAATAGGTATCGCGGCACGGTACAAACGATTTGTACGGACGCAGAATCGACACCAAGACTGGATATATGCAACGTTTAAATGCCCAGAATCGACACCTCGGCTGGATATATGCAACATTAAATGCCAGAATCGACACCTTGGCTGGATATATGCAACGTTTAAATGCCCAGAATCGACACCTCAGCTGGATATATGCAACGTTTGAAACCCGAGCCGACACCGCAACCGGTTTTCATTTCCAATCCTCCTTTGCTTTTCGCCAACTTTTAACATCAATTTTAGCAAGTAATTATAATTCAAACTATATCGTGTTTGGTATCATTTTAATCCGAAAAATTTCACAAATGCGTTAGTAAAAGTTTCAGTAAAAAAAAGTCAAAAATAAAAAAAGTTTTATAGTTGAATTAGTATTAGTCACACCGATACGTTTCGGCTCTTTCCTTTGATCATCGGACCTCTCTCTTTCCATCACTGTCTATCCTTTTCTACGTTCACGCTTGGCTGCTCGTCGCGTGTAACTCGAGATTAGACACCTCGACTGGATATATGCAACATCTGGGTCCCAATGTTTGTTACATATATCCAGCTTTTACTGTAAACACTGACTAGAAAGAGTCAGTAGCTAAAGACGAAAGAGGGACTGAAACCGGGATTTATTGCCTTCATTTAAATGTCCCGTGTCAATGTGACCATACTAATGCACAGAATAAATTTTTTTATTTTGTACTTTTTGTTAATAAAAATTTCACTATCATGTGGAGAAAATTTTTCTGATTAAAATGAAGCTAAACACAATATAAATCGGTCAACATTTAGTAGCATAATATTGGGTTAAATGTTGTGCTTACGAGTCTTTCTCTCTTTGTTTATCCTTTTTGCGCTACCCTTTTCTATGTTCGGAAACATCAAAGAACGACGGATTCGTGGTGCTGGTAGGGCTAGAATAAGTGAAATAATACACATAACGTAAGTACGCGACCATAAAAGTTATAGGAATGAAAACTACATGACATAATAATTTCAAAAAGGGAATAAGAAATAAAGAAATGTAATGATTTATAATGTTTATTTATACATATATATATTTTTAGTATATGTTAACAATAATAGGCCGCCCGCCACCGCCACCTCCTACCGTCTCTCTCTCCTCTTCTACCTCCTCGGCGGCCGCCGTATAGCATTGTTTTGATTACTTTTTTCATCTGAAATATAATAATGAATTTTAATATAATTCTGTCACACAGACTAGGACACCCTGTATATGCAGGTACAATTATATTAAAATTCATTATTGTGAGAAGATGATCTATATGCGTCAATCGGTCGCAAAAGTGCGCATCCTTCGTTGTACTTTCCTTTTGGCGTTGCGACCGATCTAAGTTGGTTAGTCCACGGAATGCCCACGTGCAGTATGCACGTCTTGTATACTGTTTCTCAATTATGTATTCTTTCTATAATTATATTATTCATTTTTTATCTTTGCATAAATATAGTTCCATAAAATAAACACTGTGTAGTGCTTTAGAAATCCTCACAATTATTATATTTCAGATGAAAAAAATTTCAATGACACGTGGCTGGGGTGGCTGTCATGGTAACGACGATGTAGACGTCGCGGAGAAAGAAGAGGCATTGTTTATATTTATTGATTATATTTCAATCAATAAATATTGTATATTATAGATCAATTTACATGTCTTTATTTTTCATTCCTTTCCTGAAATTATTAATGCCATATATGTAGTTTTTATTCCTATAAGTTTTATAGTCGCGTACGTTATGTGTATTACAGAATCTCATCGAATCTGTCGTAGCGTGCGACTATATTTCCGCCGATCGGCCCTACGTTGTTTCATTCATGATACTCCTTCTCTTTCTCTCGCGCTGTTGTTTTCTATGTCCGCCAGGAATCAAAATCTCGCTCGGCTCGAGCAAATTCATTTTGCTAGATGGTCACAGATGCGGCAACACCGCGACAGAACTCTCAAATGATGAGATTTGGCAACTATGCAATCTCATTTTCGTTTCTTATTCTGCATAATGACGTTAGATGTCACACCGTCAAATGCCGAATTTCTCAATTATGTGTTTTCACGATTGCCCGATTCTTTCCAATGGCGCTCACGTCGATTCGGAGGAGGCCTCGAAGGAGTCTGTGCCTTTAAGTTTACCCTTCTAACACCTTGTGTACTATACTTCAAAGTAACTATTTGTTTCTCAAAACATGCAGTGTAAAAAAATATGATCTCTGATTGATATTATATATATTATATGTTCTTACATTTCCCCAAGTAAAAGATATTCCTTTGGGCCTACGTAATTTGAAAACTTCAGTAATATGTTTATCACGAATGGATGAACTGCCACCCCATGCTTGTAGGAGTTTGTCACCAGCTCCCAATATCTGCATATCTTTGTTTATTACAACTCCAAATGGGAAAAGTCGTAAAATAAATGTACAAGATACCGGTGGCAATTCGCGGCTTAAAGGAACTTTCATTCTGTTGTTTTTTGCAATCTAACAAATTAAAATATTATATAAATTTTGACAATTATACATAGTATTATTTGTTTAATTAAATTAGGATTATTTATTTCTTATAAAATAACAGAAAATATTTATTTGTGTCACATTTGCTTATACTTTGTGGATTCATCTGAATGCTGAAGTTGTACAGCGGTGAGCATAGTAGGCTGCCACAAAAAAATGGTAATGTTCCCCCCCCCCCCCCCCCCCCCCCCCCCCCCCCCGTTTACAGATAACCCTCCACATGTACTTATGTCGGTTTGTGACTTCCTACTGCTTTGAATCGATATTAATTATTTAAAATTTGAATCGATACTTATTTTATTATTCATGTTTCTTGATTATATACTAAATTTTCTAATATTTAATAACTGAAAATTATAATATCCTTTTTTCTACATTACTTTTGATATTAATATTGCTAAAATTAAGATTTTAAGAACTCCTATTTCCTCAGTAATGCCATTCTCTGTAGAGAAGCCTGCTTTGCCCCATACTGTACATCTTAATCAATAAAAAACAATAAATACTGTACTTACGTATTCACGATTATCAAAATCAATTCTGAATTTAACCATTACGCTTCTGGATCCTGGAATATTGTTTGAACTTCCTAATACTTTTATATTTAAATCTATTTCATACAGTTCTTTTGCTATTTGAAATAGCTGACCTGTGGAAAATAAAAATAAACCTATAAACCTATGTTAAAAAATATTATTAATATTTATTGAACATTTAATTTCGTTACATGTAGTATAATTAAAATGTAGTATATATTAAATGATGCACATTTAACTTGTACATTTTGATTAAACGTATTAAAGTAATTTTTTAAAAATTAAACTAAATTAAAATATACTGTGTGATTTTTATGATTTCATTTCAATGTGATACCAACCTCTTATACTAACGTTATTTCATAAAAAAATACGAAGTACATTTTGAAATAATTAATTAATCTTCAACATAATATTTCATTATTATGTAAACAGAAACTATCGCAGCATGTTTTTTATTCCTCCGGCACTGCTTCAAGTGATAAAACGTTTGTAGAAAACATTCATATAATAATTCAATTTACATTAATTCATGTCACTTTAAAATGGCATTTAAATTATACTCATTATTTATTCAAGGTAGCAAACGGATACCAACGAGTATATCTTGAAAAATTACAATTGTACCGTGGCTGATTGCACATAATTTTTTCACTAACACAGTCAACATGTTAATATAAATAATATTTATGATCAGCTGGTAATCATGGGATGAACTTCTGTAATATATAAATGAAATGCTAAAATCAACAAACCTAACGAGAGCTCCCTTCCAAAGTCAATACGCTGATCTTAAATATTCGATTGATAAACACTACCCATTTATAAGATTGGTTGTTTATTTTCATTAAGTAACTAGTAATGATATCCAACTTCATTCGACAATTATGTACGTCATTCTACGTCTACGTAATAATATATGTACTTAACACTTTTACAAATTAGGAAGTTATATTTATAGGATACAATATTCAAACTCGCACAACAAAATTTTATGGCATTAACACTTTTAATTTTGATTTCGATTACTTCTTATATTAAAAATTGACTACAAACAAAATATTCCTCCAATTGTATTAAAATTTTAGACAAACATAGAAAGTTTTCTTGTATAGATTTGCAACAGTAAAGAAGAGGGAACGAATATGAGATAGGGTAGAAATCGTTGGCGTACCTGGGTAGGGGTCAAGGTGGGCCTGGCTCTCCAAAAAGGTAGACTAGTCTCCCACGGTTATAAGATTGTAAGGTTCAAAAATTAAAAACTTTAAAAATTCAAAAATTTAAATACTCAAAAATTCGAAAATTTGTTTTTGATATTTAATGTTAAATACAATTACCAATACTAATTGGGGTTGCATTTTTTTGAGAAATATGAACGGAAATATGCTCAGTTTTTATCCGACTTCGAAAAGGAGGAGGATACTCAATTCGATGTGTATGTATCTTTTTTTTATTTTTTTTACTTTTTTTTTTTTTTTTTAATGTATGTTCACCGATTACGCTGAGACGGATGGACCAATCGGAACGAAACCTTTTGCATCTGGTTGAGTATGTCTCCCGATTGGTCCCGTAAAAAAAATATTTTATATTTTTTCACTCCTGTTACGTCCCGTCTTGCGGGGCGTTTATTATATACTAAATCCTAGATACGGGTTCTGCCGCTTAAAACGCTAAGGCGCACCTTGACCTACCTTTCAAAGATAAGGGGGTATAGGATGGGAGACTGGGGATCAAAATACGCGATTGAGGTTATTCGGATGTGTAAGTGTATTTCAATTTGGCTTATCTTACATACCCTTCGCTGTCTTCGGGTGTCGTCAGCAAATACTTCCCTTGCACGCGTCGGTCACTCACACAAGAGGTTTCGCTTTACACTTAGTACGCGGATTCGACGGAACACTAGACTCGCGGCGCGTGGCTATGACTCGACCTTGGAAGATGCAAGCGGTTGGTGGTGGTCCTGCACAGCACACGGGTGCACTCCTGGAGCTTGTCCTATTATGGGCCTTGAACGTCAGACCTCGGGGATACACTCGTGTTGAACCGTCGGCCGAGCACGTCGTTGATGATCTTCCTGGTTTCGAGTTTAGCCAAAACGCGGGTTGCAAACGAGCAGAACTTCGTCTCTGCTTTACGCTATCACGGAACTGCGGTACTTGCGTCGCGCCGATAACTTATACTCCCAAAAGGGGAGTAGGTCACGCTCTTTGCTTGCGAAAACCTGCAAACAAAGGATTTTCGCCATCGCATTCCGCGAGTTCCCTGATTTCGTATCGCGGGCGTCGCTAAGCGAGAAAATGCTGATGTTTCGCGGATTCCAGAGCAAGACCTCTTTGGAATGGCGAAAGACGAAAATGGGTTACACCTAGGGACGTAACACCCCCCACGCTAGACACAAAATGCTCTCGAGAGGGCATTTTGTGTAAGGTGTTTTCGTCGTTCGCCACCCTCATACGCTCGATCACACATACTTTTCCATACATTCAGAGAGTACAAAAAAAAAAAATTTTTTGCAATGAGGATAGCTGTTTAAAATATAAAAGTAAAATAAAATATAAAAGTAAATATAAAATATAAAAGTAAAAGGTGCCGAAGTGTGTACAATGTTACGCAGCTGTTGTAAATACAAAAAAAAAGACTATATGTGTATGGTGTCGGAAGAGGTGCAGTTTTGTGTTGTTGTTTATATATACAGGGTGTCCCAGAACTGGGGTAGGAACGGAAGAGGGATGATTGATGAGGTCATTCTAAATAACTTTTTCCTTTGCCAAAATGTTGGTTAAGGCTTCGTTTTCGAGTTATTAACGAAAAACACTGGCCAATCAGAGCGCGCCGTTAGCGCGGGCCGAACCACGAGAGTGTTGAGTATGTTCCGCGCGGTCGTGATCAAGTGACTCGGCACTACGTCGGTATGATGGGATTCGTTGAGTAGAAGTTGCATCGGATAATGAATAAAAAAAAGAAAAGAATAATTGTATCAAATTATTGATTACTCGTGAACAACGAATCCTATTACACCGACGTGATGCCGATGCACTTGATCACGACCGAGCGGAACATACCCAACACTCTCGTGGTTCGGCCCGCGCTAACGGCGCGCTCTGATTGGCCAGTGTTTTTCGATAATAACTCGAAAACGAAGCCTTAACCAACATTTTGGCAAAGGAAAAAGTTGTTTAGAATGACCTCACCAATCATCCCTCTTCCGTTCCTACCCCAGTTCTGGGACACCCTGTATACAGGGTGTCCCGTAACTTGTGTAACTCCCGGAAACGGGGGGTTGCTGGGGTGATTCTGAACAACATTTTCCTTTACCAAAATGTCGTTTGAAGCTTCGTTTTTGAGTTATTAAAGAAAAACACTGGCCAATCAAGCGCGCCTTTAGCGCAGGCCGAACCACGAGAGCGTTGGCTTTCAGCCGTACTCGGTCGTGGTCGTGAACAAACGCATTGGCACAAACGCATTCATTATTCATGAATAACGAATGATTCCACATTGTTCTTAATTTAAGACGATGTAACATTTATCGCACGCTTCACTTGACACCCACGCTGTGCCAATGCATTTGTTCACGACCACGACCGAGCGCCGTTGAAAGCCAACGCTCCCGTGGCTCAGCGCGCGCCCGGCGCGCGCTCTGATTGGCCAGTGTTTTTCTTTAATAACTCGAAAACGAAGCTTCAAACGACATTTTGGTAAAGGAAAATGTTGTTCAGAATCACCCCAGCAACCCCCCGTTTCCGGGAGTTACACAAGTTACGGGACACCCTGTATAGTGGAAAGCTTTGCGGGAAGTGGCCTCAGGGCACACCCCCCCCACGCTGAACAGTCGATAATTTTCAAATGAATGCCGAGACAAAATATGCGCATGTCCATAAAAGGATTGGCTTGAAGCGCGGTGTTTATCGATACGCTGAATTGGGCATTCCGCGACAGCTATTGGAAAAATTGTCGATGTAGGACTAATCGTTACCATGCTCCCGTTGGGTTTGGAGGGGTTGTCGTGGTATATATATACCGGTTGATCAAGTATTGTCCTTACTTTGGAGAGAAATTTTCGTTGATTACGACCGATTTTGTTAGAGGTGGAAAGAGTCGGAGAGAAAAAATGGACAGCTTGTGTGTCTGTCATCGTGACGTGTTCTGTGCCTGGGTAAGTGGTGTTTTTTTTTTTTTTTTTTTAATGAATGGTAATTTCTTTGGACTGGAAGCCGTTGTTCGTAGTTCCTTGTTGGCGTGATTGCGTATTAGGTAGTTCTATTATCTGTATGTCTGAGGGCCATGTCGTTGGATTTGTGGTCGGTTGTAGTTGTACTTCTATGTCTGCTGTCGTGAATCTCTTTCGTTGTGGTTGCGGTTGGGGCTTTCTCTTAGTTTGGTTTTTACAGTATCTGTATCCTGCTGCTATTATCATTGCCAAGATGATTATGCTTATGGCTGATAGTGAGCCATAAGTGACGTATGCGGTGTGTGTCTGGGCGCGATGGTGGTGCGCTAGGTCCTGTGCTTGTTCGTCTACGTCTTGTAGAGTTAGGAGGTTGTCTGTGTCCATTTTCATGGGTGTGAATTTTGGTTAATTTTGCTGGAGCTTTGTCAGGATTTGGATATGATGCGGGGTTAGATCTTGAATGAGATTTGATATGTTAAGGCTGAGGTTGGGTTTGAAGGTGTGATTGAGTTGTTGGGTTTTGATTCCAGATGCGATTATCTTCGTGTGGCTAATGGTTGCTTCGCAGTGGCTTTGTAGTTGCAAAATTCCTGCACCCTGGAGTTGTTCGTACCCAGCTGATCTTTTGTTGCATTTTATTTGGAGTGCCTCTTTATTTTCCGTTGCAAATAACCAAGTATTGGGGGCTTCCAGTTTAGTAATTTGGATGTTGTTTGGTGAGGCTGCTTTTACGTTGCATCGTTTCCACTGGAGGTATTCTGGACGCAGAATGAGGTCGATTTCACAGATGTGGCTTTGCTCGTAGTTTAGGAGTGGGAGGGTAATTTCGCAAAGGAGTCTTCCGTTAGGGTTTTTACAGGTTTTGAGGTAATTTTTATCAGGAAGGAAAAAGGACGAGGTTCTCTGGTCTATTGCTAAGAATTCGGTTTGGGGTTGGATAATTAG